CAAAATGTTCATATAGCTCTTTTGTCAGAAACATGGTTAAGACCAGAATTAAAATTTACTATAAAAGGCTATACAGTTGTTAGATTGGACTCAGGTAATAGACACAATGGTGTTGCAATTGCCATTAGAAATGATATTCCTCATCAAGCTCTAAATACTACATCTGATAATTCTATTCAAAACATTGCCATTAGAATAAGGTTTCATAATACAGATCTATCAATAGTAAGTATATATTGTCCTCCATATAGTACACCTAGGTTCTCTAAGGTTAAATTAAATAACTTAATTAAACAAATTCCTGAACCGATGCTGATTGCAGGTGATTTAAATGCTCACAATACATTGTGGGGATGTAATTCCACTGATACTCGTGGTAGGGACATTTGCGACATAGTTGAAAACAATGATTTGTTATTATTAAATGATGGTAGGATGACAACAGTAGGCTCAGCTAGCTGGAGTCCAAGTGCAATAGATCTCACTCTAGTGTCTTCTTCCATTGCTCTGTCTTGTAATTGGGATGTTCACGATGATCCTCTTGGAAGCTATCACCTCCCTGTAACAACTGAAATAGAATTTCAACCATGCTTCAATAATTCTAACATACCTACCCATTACAATCTCAAACTAATAGACTGGAAAAAATATTCAACATTAGTCAATAAAAAATTACAATCTTATATAGCAAGCAATAGCGCAATTGACTCATATAATAGTTTCTGTGATGTTTTAAATGAAGCAATTGAAGAATCTAGCCCTCAAAAAATAACGTCCAAAAACAGTAGCAAGGTGTTTCTTAATAATAAAAAAAAACGGAAATTAACAGTCCCTTGGTGGAATAGCATATGTAACGATGCAGTGCAGTCTTCTAAGCAGGCATACGTTTCATTCAAAGAAAATTCTACAAATGAAAATTACATCAATTTCAAGAGGCTGCAAGCTCGTAAAAAGGTTATTCTAAAACTTGAACAAAAAAAGGCTTGGCAAAGGCTTTGTGAATCTTTTAATAGAAATACTCCAATTAAGTTCATTTGGAATTATATGAGAAAATTTAATAATACTTTCACTAACAATATAAGCATTACAGATGAGTGGATTACACCCTTTTTAAACAAATATACTCAAGCCAATGATTCAGATCGTTCTCCATTCCTTCTACTTGGACATAGCTTAAATGAAACTAATAAGTACATTACAGACAGATTCTCCTTGCAAGAACTTAAATGTGCCTTAAAATCACGTAAAGAGACTGCTTGTGGATTGGACTGGATATCGTATCATATGTTAAAGGAATTAAATGATAGCTCACTCAGTATTTTCTTAAGCATTCTAAATACACTATGGTTGCAAAATGAAATCCCTGAATCTTGGAAAACTGACTGTATCATCCCCATTTTAAAACCAAATAGGAAACCTGGCTTAGTAGACTCATATCGACCTATAGTTCTATCTTCATGTGTAGGAAAGATATTTGAACAATTGATTAAACTGAGACTAGAGTTTTATATAGAAAAATATGGAATATTACCTGACAATCAATTCGGCTTCAGAAGAGGGAAATCTACTCGTGATAGTATATGTCATCTCCATTTAGATATCCTCAATGCCTTTTCTGATGACAAAGCACTAGTCTGTGTGTTTTTCGATATAGTTGGAGCTTTTAATAACATTAATCATCAAATTTTATGCTCTGAACTAAATTCCATTGGGTTACCTGGAAAAATAATAAATTGGATATATAATTTCATTAATGGCAGAATAGTATATGTTAAACATAATTCTAAGTTATATGGCCCAAAATACTCATTTAAAGGTAGTTGTCAAGGAAGTATTTTAAGCCCTTTGTTATTCATTTTGTATATAAGAAGACTTAATATTGTTTTAGGATCTAGTGTTACCAATTTACAGTTTGCTGATGATTTAGTGATTTACTGTTACTCAAATAACATACAAGAATCTGCAGAAAAATTGAATCAAGCCACTACAAGACTTAAAATCTACTTTGACAAACTACAATTAACAATTAGTCTGGAAAAAAGCAAAGTGGTAATTTTTAATAAATATAAACCTTTAGACAACATAAATATAGCTTTTGGTAGCTCCATTTTACCTGTAGTTACTAGTGTTAAATTTTTAGGAATAGAATTTAGTAGTAACTTATCATTTAAGTCATATGTCTCAATTATAATGGATAAAGCTAATAAAGCATATAATATATTAAGAACTTTAGCGAAAACTTCATGGGGTTCTGACCCAAAAATCTTAAAAATTCTATATAAATCACTGGTCCGAAGCAATTTTGAATATGGTTGCTTATTTTTTTCAACATCTCATAAACTTATTGAAAATCTTGAAAAAATTCAAAATAAATGCCTAAGACTTGTTATTGGTGCAATGAATTCATCACCAATTAATTCAATACAAATCGAATGCAACATTGAGCCTCTTAAATTTCGATTCCAATATTTGAGGGACAAATATATTATAAAATTATTTTCTTTGTGCAATAATAAATTACTCGTGAAAATTCTCAACTTTCGGAACAACATAGAAAGACCCTTTATTTCTTTAAATATAAATAACCTACATGACAATTATTTTAAAACAATTAAAAAATATATTAACTGGCCTTGTTATTGGGGTACCTATGACTGTAAATTCCCTGAAATTCATGTCTCCATTGAAAATAATTTGCATACTAAACAAGATGTGTATAGAGAGCTACATAAATGGTCAGAGTTTAAAAAAATATACACAGATGGTTCAAAAACAGATTCAGCCACTGGTATAGCTATTTACATCCCATACAAGAAAACTGGCTTTGGTGTAAAAATAAGTAATTACTCTTCCATATTCACTGCAGAAGCTGCAGCTATTCTAGAAGCATTACATTATATAGAAGAAAATAAGGATGTTTATCAAAAGTGGTTAATAGTATCAGACAGTCAAAGTGTATTAAGTGCACTGCAAAACCACATCTATAGAGCTGATCGTAATTATATAATAGAATCAATTAGAATAAAAGTAAGAGATTTGCAACAGAGAAATATTGCTGTATCATTTTTTTGGACACCTTCTCACATTGGAGTTCAAGGCAATGAAGATGCCGACACACTTTGTAAAGCAGTAGTCTCATATGACAAATGTGTCGTGAAAGATATTGGTACACCTTATACAGATGTTATGCCTTACTTGAAGAAAGAAATAAAAAAACTATGGCTCGATTACTGGAAAGCATCTCTGCAAGAAAAAGGACAGTGGCTTGGTGAAATTCAGAAGGATATCAGTACCTCATGGTTTGACAAGGGTGATTACAAGTCAAGAGATTTTTACACTACCTTAAGCAGATTAAGAATAGGCCATTGCCTTTTCAAAGATCATTTGTATCGATTAAAGATTGTTAACTCACCTATTTGTGACTTCTGCAACATGGAGAACCAGTCACTAGAACATATCTTTTTCAAATGTCCCTCATTTAAAGCACAAAGAAAAATACTCTTTCAAGAATTACAAAGAATGAAGATTTTTAACGAGGAAACCATCCCGCGCGACTTAAGAAAACTCTTATCAAACATTGACAGCTATGTTCCTGTATACAGATTTGTCAAAAATACAATTCAAAAGATTTAAAGATCAAGAAAATCCAGGCAGGGCTGTATGGACCTAACATCCTTTGCCCGTCCCAAACAAGGGGGATGAGACAAATGATTTTGATAGTAGGATTTTCTTTATTTATAGTAAAATAAACCGGATATTTTTTTTTTACTTTTATTGCCCCAGAAAAGGTAAAGAAAGGCGTATAATTCGTAGACAATGAGTTTATTCTACATTGAAGATTACAATATAGTAATCGTAATTTTTGATAAATCTTTTTTTTTTTATAATTGCCAAGTTGTTTTCTCGTTTTACTGCAATGTGTGCTTGTGTTCGATTAAAGCCTGTTACTTTGACACTCCTTGTAAGAAAACCCAATCTATTTCAAAATTTAACGTAGGACTTCTAGGCTACAATTAAAATCCAGATCGTTTTTGGCAATCCACTGATGTTTTCTTCATGTAGGTACCACTTTTTTTCATAGAGTAAAAGAACTGAATCTTTTGTCGAAGTGCACAAATGTTGCAATTAACCATTTATTTCTTAGGACGACTCTATGTTTCCCAGGGGTTTCAAATATGCCACCATTTTTATAGCCTTCATCTACAATACGTATCACTATATTCTCTGATTTTCCTGAAAGTAAGTTTTAAAAATGTAATACCTATAGGTATTTGGCAAAAAGAATGGAATCGCCACAATGATCAAATTAATGCTATAATTTTAGTAATATAAAGCACAAACTTTTTATTGGCGTACGTAGGTAAAATTCGTACATTCCTAACAGATATATTTTTTATTCAGATTAAAATCAATGATAAATTTGGTTATCCAAAAGTATTCAAAGTTCGGGCCGCACTACAATATAGCCTTCTAACATTTTCAATCTAACCTATAAATGCATAATGTAAACAATACTTATTTTAGACTTAAATTCATATATTTAGTAAATTTGAAACTTCTGGTAACCAAAACTCAATCAGTAACACGATTACATACCAGTCATAACTGCCGTTCGAGCTTTAACATCCTACAAATATGATAAAATGTGTCCAGCTTCTTGTTCCAATAAACATCACTGAAAAACTTTATAAATAATATCCTGAGCTTCACTCCGATGAATATCTCTTCATTTCTAACACTTTTCTACGGAGTTTAGAAGAAGTAGCTTCAGTTTAATCAAAACAAGAAAATGCAAAAAGAAAATCGAGCTAAAAAATCAAGTTGTTGACAGTCGATGTACTTTGTTTCAGTGTTGTCATACTTGTGTCCTAATGTTAGTTCCTCAAACATTCTTTTCATGACTTTATAGCATTTCTCTTTGGCAGCTTTGTTCCTGATTGAAAGTATTTTTCCCTTATTTCATCTATGGTACATGGTCTGTGTGTGTACATAACCCACACATAACCCTATGTATTACTAGTCTGTGACATAACCTTAAAACTTATTTACTGAACTTCCGCGAAGTATTTGACTGAAGTTGAAATATTATTTTATTTCTTGTATTTGATTAAAAAGTTATTGAAAATGGCAGAACAAGTAAATCAACGTATTGAGGATATGATAAATGAGTTAGAGCAGATGAGGAGAACAAATTTATTTGACGATGAAGAAATAAGGTTGACTAAAATAACATTGTTTTTTTTTTATTCTATTACTTTATATTTTATTCTATTACTTATAATACTATTCATGAAACTTAGCAATATAATTTATTTTTTATGTTGTTCCAGAGAAATATCTCGTAAACGTAAAGAGTTTGAGTATAGAATACAACGCAGAGTAAAACAGAAAGAAGATTTTGTTCATTACATATCTTATGAACTAGCACTTCTTGAAGATATCAACCTCAGACGAAAACAAGCTAAACTGTCAGAGAAAAAGAACGACATTGAATATGCTGTTGCAAAACGTTTGAATAAAGTATTCAAACAATTTATCTATAGGTTCCAGAATGAAGTTGAAGTATATTTTGAATATATAAAGTTTTGTCAAAGTGTTGGTTTTCATCATGCAATATCTGGAATAATAGGACAAATGTTGCAGGTTCTTATTAGTTCCACTACGATCAGTTCACACCTTTCATAATTCAAATTTATACATTGATTTCATCAGAAACAATATGTTTTCTTAATGTTTATATGTTTACATGTTCTTTTTTAGATACACGGTGATAAGCCTAAAATGTGGTTGTTGGCAAGTAAATGGGAGAAAGAAGAGGAACATAATCTGGAAAATGCCAGAAGCTTTCTGTTGAAAGGATTACATAGACATCCTGAAGCTGACATCCTTTATGTTGAATTGTTTCAAATTGAACTCCATTTGTGTGCCAAAGAAAATGCAGAAAAGAAGGTTAGGAAATGGTAACATTGTATGTTTTTATTTAAAACAAATCAATAATTATGACTTTTTAAATAATTTTTGATGAATAATTGTAGGAAAAGCAGATAAAAAGGGCTGACATAGTATGGAGAAATGGTTTAAAAAATTTGAATGACTTGAAATTTTTATTTAACGTTTATGATATATGCATAAAATTTGATGCGGATAATTCCATAACAGAGAGTATAAAACAGGAAATTTGGTCAAGACATAGTGAGAAAGAAGTATGGCCTTATATCGCTTCTAAAGAACTCCAGGTGAGATGATTGAAAGATTGTTTCATACCACCAAGTGTACAAATTAACTTGAACTATTTTATTTCCTTGATTATGAAATTTCATCTATTTTAAAAATGCTAATATGACATTTGTATGTAATTTATGAAGCAACAGAGGTAGGATCTGATACTACCTCTGATGCACAATGTTCACAGATATGATTTTGATGAAATTATAAGAATGATTCAAAATTTTTCCAATTTTACATTCAAGGACAAACAGATTTAGTGTTTAAGTGGTGTGTAATTCTAGTGCGTTATACATTGTAATTTACATTAAACTAATTATAATCATTATCAATCTAAAGGGCAACCATTGGAAAGAGATTGAAGAGTGTGTGGAAATCAGTGCAACTGGTTATCCAAAACAATTGCAATATTTTATAGCAATTTATGAAAGAGCACTCCAGCAGGTTTGTATAGTTCAATTGTTTTACATAAATTATTAACTGAATTATTAAAATCAGTAGTTATTTTAGAGTTTATGAACTAACAAAAAATCCGATCTTTCCTTTTTATAATATGAGTGTAGACTGTCTGATCCCTCAAACTTTTTACTTGAATATTAGACAATATCACATATATTAATCAGATTTCAAATTAAGTAGCCAAAACACCTGTATTATGGAAACCTGAAACAAACCAAGGTAACACAACACCCAGACTGACACGATTTAGAAAATACCATTTTCAATATTGACTCAACTGGGAATCAAACCAAAGATATTTAAATTAATAATATGTAACATATGTTACTTGTTGACAACATTGCTTTTTGTGAAAGAATTTTTAACATTGGTCCAGTGGCATTTGGATTTATCAATTACAAATAAAAAATAAATCTGTTTTTTGTAACATTAATACAGACCAGCTTTAAAAAATTTTTTTGTTCAACAAATTGATATTCTAAGGCTCCATAGATCACAATAAATTAGAAAACTATGGTATAGATAACTGAAATTATAATTAATTATATGATTAAGTTTCCAGATGAAAAGCTGTGTACTCAATATATTCACAAGTTGTTGGGTGTCAATGAAGCAATATGTACCAATTTACAAAAGATTTCTGCTGTAAAAGAGGCTTGGTATTATGGACATGATAATGGACTACTAAGCACTGATATTTTTGCTTTTGGGATTGAAGTTTTGAAGATGGAAAATGAAATATCAGATAGCAAACTTAAGGAGGTATTATGATATAACATACTATGTAAAGACTTTTTACTTGATGACTTTGATATTACATACTATGTAAATGACCAGTTGCCCAAACATCCATAAAATTTTTCATTAGTTTAAAGCGACATTACCTATATAAATTTGAAATTTACTAGAGCTTAAATATTTCATTAATCTTTAATGGACATTTAAGCAACTGACCATTTCAACTTTTGAAAATTTTAAAAATAATAACATTTTTTTTTTTGCAGCTTTTAGACAATGTTTCAATGAATGTTTATCATGATAAGTATGTTTGGGAAGAAAAACTTAAGTTGTGTAAGTCAGATGTAAAAGAAATGCTTGCCATTGTTCAGGATGCTGTTAAAGTATTAAAACCTGATGCTGCTCTGGCTCTTTGGAATTTCATGCTGGATAATGTAGAGTCTAAAGATGCTGTAAGTTTTAATTTTAATTTATATGAAGCCTTTTACCTAATACCCTAATTACCTTTAGCTAAATTTGAATTATTTTTTCAGGTAAACAAGATATATAAAAGCTACCGGAATTGTGAAAATGTTGTGCTTTTGGCTTTGAAACCGAAATTATTACAAAAAATGTATGAGTGCAATGGCTTAAAAGCAGCAAGAGAAATGTATGAGGAATTGATAAAGGTACCACCTACACAAATAGACACTCACACGGTCATGATAGATATAGAGAAATCACAAGAGAAGCCAAACATTAAAAATATTAGAAAATACTATGAATGCCTAGTGCAACATCATGGGAAGGACAGTGTCATTATATGGATGAATTACATGAAGTTTGAAGCGGAACAAGGGAATGCTCAATCTGTACCAAACATTTATAGGCGAGCTATTGGAGCCCTGAAAAAAGAATTGGTTGATGAATTTATAAAAGCTCAAACTTTAGCAAAATTAAAATAAATATAAAACTATCAAAGAGTTTTAATTATAATACCATTGACAAATAAAATTTGTTTATTTTAATAAACCACACAATGGTTCAACAATCTAGCAAAACAAATGTTCACAAAGTACACCATTTATGCTAAAAATTATTTACACTTCCATTTTATACATTTCAAACTCTATAGTTTGAATCTACTTTGGTGATTGTGGAATAACACTTAGCAAATAAAGATAGAAGATAAATGCAATTTCATTTATTTGAAGTGACTACTGCAAGGCTGCTATAGGGGCAATGTAATATCTAAAGATTAAGGAGGAGCCACGTTTGTGTTGTTTATTTCGGAGCAGTTCTCTCCAGCAAGCTTGCCATGATGGATATGCTGGCATTAACGGAGGGTTGCCAGCTTTTAAACTGCACCCTGCTACAGCCATACAGGTAGAAACCACTAACAATGGGTATGTTATAGTACTGGTCACAAATGTTAGTAATGGAGCTGTGTAGTATCGCAAGTCTTTGGTCTTGACTAAGTATTTGTTTACATAGTATGCTAACACACCAGTCACAGCAACACATGTCAAATCTCCAAGTATTTTAGGGATAATTCCATGAAAGAATCCTCGTATACCATCGTCCCTATATATGGATATAATAGCACCAATAAGGGAGCTATAATCTTCTTCTTTCCCTATAAATGAGGCCATCATTCGAACAGATACAACGTGGAATGGATAGGATACAATAACTGCAGCAGTATGCATTATCATGTCTCGGCGTCCGAGTTTAATATAATCTTCCGCTTTAGGTTCTTCATCTGTTACAATATTTGGTGGGTCATTGATTTCAGGAAGGTCGATGCCACAAGCACTGATTACTTTTGATGTGAGTTGACTGGAAGCAATCAGTCCAAGTACTCGAGCAGAGAGTCCTCTGTAGCAGCCAAAGAATCCGTCTTGGGTTTTGATGTACTTTATGTACTGGAATACATTAGGTAATATCATTGCAGGGCGTCCAAATAGTGTAGTCGAACGGCGAGGAGGTAGTGGCTCGTAACCAAGTTGGATAAGTACTTTCGCATATTCCATGGGATGGCATATTGTTGTGATGAGTAACTGGGATGGGAGAGCTGCTATTTTCTCTTTTTCAATTTCGTCCATAATTTGACAACTTGACGACCTTCTGAAATCAAAAATGACTGACGGGCCAAAGACAAAGGTCAAAAACTAAGGAGTAATAATCAGTGTAGCCATATAAAAAAATGATATCTTTTTATTGAGGTTATAGGTATTTCTTAGTTGTACAATTTTTAATTATTAAAAATACTATCCCACAATAATCATATAACGTTATATTTCTCGAAAATACAGGTAAAAATATTGGTATTTATTTATAAATGACATTATTTAATGGCGTGTACAGATTCAGCAAACGAAAAACTAATGAAGGCTGACAAATGCTAGTGAATGAAGTATCAGAAAAGCCATCAGCGTGTCGGCGAACCCTTACTCGGCGAACAAATAAGAATCATGCCCAATTTTGACCTTAAATGTAGCTTATTTTATATCAGGAAATTAAATCTTAAAATACGGTCAGGATAAAAATTGCGAGGCTGATAATTATTTTTAAATAGTACTATGATAATCCGTATGGATTCAGACCCAATGATGATTTGCTACGTTTTGTGTCATCTACTACGCATAAAAATATTCTTTCGTCATAAGGTTAAAAGTGCACATTCACGAGTCAAACTATAAAAAGGTTCGATTTTAATGCATACAATTTAAAAGTAGATTTACATTTATCTCGAGTTTTGACACCTCAAAACATTATTTACAAACAGTGCTGCCAATTTAGCATTTTTATGGCTAAATTTAGCATGTTTTCTAGTGTTTTGGCATAATTAAATTAAGTTTAGCATATAGCATATTTTTTTAGCATTTTACTGAGAGTAAAATAGCTAAAGATATTTTTCATTTTTTCTTAAAAAATATGCTATATATGTCTGAACACAACCTAAGAGTGTTCGTAGATTTATAGTCATAGAGTAGTCTTTGGTTAGATAAATCCCGCTTGAATATAATGAGTTTTTGTTGAGGAGAATCGATGAGGTCCCTGATCAGATTTTGCGAAAAATAGGGACTAATGTAATGAGGCTCATGCATCTACGTCATCTGCTCCATACCTACCGGCTACATCAATGGCTCAGGATACCGACGAGGGTCTTCGCAATTTATTTATAAATGCTTCTTTATAATTTTTTTTAATAAATATTCTGTTTCTCTAATAAAAGCATTTTTTAAGTATTTTCGAAAATATTTGGCATATTTTTGGCATTTTTTTAAAGCCTATTTAGCAGAAATTATTTTCTAGAGTTGGCAGCACTGTTTACAAAGAACAATGGCCATCTGCCTAACATGCTTGGACTAGTAAAATCGAATAAAACGTAACTTGATGAAACATATGTTATTTTATTTGTCTATGCAACGCTTAGTGGATTTTCCACTAAAACTGGTGGTTTTAATCCTTCATTTAGTGGCGAAATAATGGTTTTAGTGGCTGGTGGATTTTTCTAGTGGCTTATAAAAATTTAGTTTCCATTACTTTAACTGCGATCACTCATCCGCTAAGTTACTTTCATATTTCAAGTCAAGAAGTCCATAATCTATATTATAGATATTAAATCTATAATATAGATTATGGACTTCTTTGATCTCGTGTTTTAAATTTTAAATGGTATTTACGTTCATATACAGGCAACACTTATCCACTAAAAAGACGATGTTTCTTTGTAGGCGGGGATTCCCCGTACATTATTTTTCAGTGAACTCATTCACTGAAATGCTTCCGTGCAGCTCAGTAAGTTGTCATGTTTTTTGTGTTATCATCACGAATTTATTCATACGCAACTATGCCGAAACCACAATATAAGCAACAATTTCGGGATTCTTGGCTTCAAGACCCACATTTAAAAGATTGGCTACAAGCTATTGAAAGTACCACGGGTCGAGTAGCAAAATGTAAATTTTGTGGTACAACTTTAAGGAGTCACTACGGAGACTTAAAGACTCATGGGATGTCAAAGAAGCATCTACAAAATAAGAAGGTAAACAACCGCTTTTATTGATTACTCATTCATATGTCGGTTTTCACCTGACTACGAAAGAAGGGTTTTACATTTAAAAAAGAATAAAACTAACCTAATTATTAATTACTAATTTAATGCTTTGGATTTTGTTTCGTGTATTCAGGTTTTACTGTTTATGGTTTTATTTTGATTTCTTTTTAACAAATAAATTGTTTCAGCTTATAATTACTCAGCCCAAAATCCCATTCAAGACAGAGCCCATTGAAAGTAAAAAAAAGGACGAAGCCAGACTCGCACTATTCACCGCCATGCATACTAGCATACGTGTCATAGACCATTTAGGAGAGGTTATTAATCACAGTCATGAAAAAGATATTAAAAAAGTTCAACTGCACCGAACTAAATGCGCCTCGATTATAAAAAATGTGTTAGCATTACATTTCACTGAGGTCCTCAAACAAGATCTTAAAGATCAACCATTTAGCTTATTAATTGATGAATCCACAGATATTGCTGTGCAGAAATACTTAGGTTTAATTGTAATTTATTTTAGTGAATTATACCAAAAATTCGTTTCCACGTATCTAGACCTTGCTGAACTGCATGAGTTTAATGCTGAAGGTATTGTTTCTGCTATAAAGAAGACGCTAAAACGATTCGATCTCCGATTGGAAAATTTAATGGGACTTGGTACAGATAACGCTTCTGTGACGGTTGGAGTAAATAATGGAGTCTATATCAAATTGAAGGAAGAGATACCACATCTGATTTTGGTGCGTTGCTTGTGTCATTCCTTGCAATTGGCTGTTTCTGCTGCAGCAAAAGAATTTTTGCCGAGAAATTTGGAATTTATAATTAGAGAGACATATGATTGGTTTAGCCGCTCGACATCCAGACAGTTGCTGTATAAAGAATTATACAAAACCATTAACGACGGTCAGAAACCGTTAAAAATTGTTCAAGCATGCCAAACGAGGTGGTTGTCAATTGAATCTGCTGTATCAAGAGTATACACGCAATGGCTCGAGTTAAAAACTCATTTTGCAATAGCTAAGGTGCACGAAAGATGTCACACGGCCGAGTTATTGCACTCTTTATATGCGAATGAGATGAACTACGCATATATTTCTTTTTTATATCCAATATTAATTGAGATAAACAGAGTTAATAAAATGTTCGAGTCAAAAGATACGGACCATATCAAATTGTATGAAGAGTTAACTAACCTGATAGATATGCTTGTCTGCAAGGTAACATTACCTACAAATAAAGTTAATATTTTTAATCAAAATATTCGTGGTTTTTTGGATCAAAAATGTTATCTTGGATTCAGATTTGAAAAACAAATAATTGAAATGAGAGAAAAAGGGTTACCAAGGGAAGACGAAGAAATGATGCGGCATCGGTGCATAACATTTATAGTCAGTCTAATTGAAGAAATAAAGAATAGGTTACCAGAAAATTTGACACTAATGAAAAAAATTTCCCGAATAAGTGTTGAACAAGCACTTAATCACAATAAAGCACAGCACTAATTGACATAATGGCTCAGTTCAATAAAAGTGCAGAACATATAGCGAGAGTCGATGATCAGTGGCATCAAATTCATTTATTAAAATGGAATGAAACTAGAAACACAAGAAAGTTTTGGATGGAAGTATTGCAATTCAAAGACACTCAAGGAGAACCGAGGTTTAAGGAATTGGCGACTTTTGCGATTACTCTCCTAATACTACCTCATTCTAATGCCGATGTTGAGAGACTATTTAGCAGCATGAATGTAATAAAGAACAAGGAGAGAAATAGAATGAAGTTAAATCTTTTATCTGCTATTTTGAGAATACGTTGTTGTTTGAGGTTGGAAGAAAAATGCTGCAATGATTATAAAATTCCAGAAGCCGTTGTCAAACAAATCGGTACCAAAGAATCATATCAATCTGAAATGGAAGATTATGGTGCAAGCAAAAATGATTCGTCTGAAGAAGACGAATTAATTTAGAATAGTTATTATTGAATAAATTGTGTTGGTTTACTATATTTTGTTTACTGATTGTTAATTTTTGTGGCGTAATAATAAAGGAAACTAATATTATAGACACTTATTATTTTCTTTCATAAAACAAATTTCTCTTAGCGAAAAATTTAGCGAGTATGAATGTAGTGACATATTTGTTAGTGGTTTTCTGGTGGTTTTTAAAGTAGAATCTAGTGGAGAGCTAATTCAACTGTTGGCAACACTCATTAAATATATTTTTAAAAGCTGGGAGTATCGAGTAATTGTGTAATATGTTTTTGAGGTTATGTCGTATTATTTAAACTGTAGCATTTTAAGTTAGAGGTATTACAGTTGAAATATATGAAGCACACGTCAGATAATACCTAATCGTGGTCCTAGAAGTGCATACTTTCACATAATACTTCAAACTTGCTCCATATCTGATATATTATTTTTATTGACTGTAAGAAATAAAATCATTTTTTGTGATCCAATGAACATAAAAAAAAATAGAATTTTTAAGATTGCTCCAATAACTCTACTTTTCCATCTTACACTATAACTAATATAAAGTAGTAGTGAAAATACTAATGTCAAAAGGATATAGCAAAACAACATGTTGATTTTTCTTTTCTTTATTACAACTCTAATGAATACCTCATCACGGAATGCTGCAGGAGCTACATTCTGTTCATGTCTAGCCCATCCAAGATACCAAACTATGGTCATTATATGAGCACAGCATCCCAGTGTACATCGACCAATAAAACAATTACAGCAGTGTTCTCTTATGCCATCTAACCCGGATGTGTAATTATTTATTAAAATGTACACATAATATTGTTTCCTCCCAATGTCTCGACTCAATTCTACCCCTTATAATTAGGACAATATTTATATTTATTAAGTCTAATTCTAATAAATCCAGAGAATCCGGTATTTCTCTACAGACCTCAATTCTCAGTATACCATGGAACCTAGTATGCTCCCCATAATACAGAAGTTAATACAAAATCGCCGCCAAAGTTACAAAACGATCTGCGTAGAAACACGTCTACACATACTTGTCTAAAAAAGGGAAGTCGAAATCGATTTAATACTGTAATATCGATTCTTATAGTTAATCATTAAGTTTTATTTTCATTATAAATAAACTATTTTCCTTTAAATAACATCTAATTATATTAATAATCTAATCTTAGTTTCATAATTTTCACGGATTTATATGGTTAGTAAATAATAAAAGCTTTGTATCAAATTCGATTAGTCAGAAATAAAATCGATCTTGTTCTTTGAAAAGAGAGGGACTTCTCTAGGAATGACATTATTATTAAGATGCGTTCAAAAATAACATAATTTAAACTGCGTTCTAAGAAATAAAGACTTATTTTAGAGAGGAATATCTTTCTTTTCCCAGCTTTTAAAAATAAATTGTTGGTATATAATAATAACATTCAACTTATACTACATTTTGGTAATCTTGGTACAAGAACTTTTTTTCGTAGTCCATTTTGGCCATTGTTCTTTCGAATCTCCCTGGCCTGCACTTAAAAAGATGTTAAGACATTATTATATTTTAAATAAAAACTATTTTAAATTGTCACTAATAGTAGGTAGATGGAAAGTGGACATGATGCTTTAGAATTTAGATAATGCATAGACCAAGAATAATCTTTACTTTTACATTCGGCGAACTTCATCTAGATGCGGCGAATACTTTTACTCTTTGCGGCGAAAGCATGGCGAATGACCAATCGCTGTATTGTGTATTTTTAATGAGGAAGTATTTTATTTGAGTAAAAAAATCAAGAAACTACAAAATTTTATGTCACTAGATGGCAGCACAAATTGTAAGATTTAAATGTCAACTCATGACGTTAGACTAAAGATAATAGAATTGTCAGTGCAGTTATGGATCTGATAACTCGGATTAATATCGAGTTGAAATACAATTAGTTTGCGTTACGCAAACGCAATTCGAATAATACCAACGAATCTTTGAATAACTGTCTTTTTAATTATATAAAGGAAAATGGAAACTAACATAATAGAAGTAAGCATAGAACGGGTACAAGAAATAAGTGCAAATTATTTGTCCTTTCGAAATTAAGTTCTTTTTTAACCATCAGTTATCAGTTAAGAAATCTTATAGTCATAATTAAATTATCTTAACAAAAATTCAAAAATCAACAAGAAATATCCGTTCGAAATGAATTGCTTTAAAAGGTTATAACTTTAAATTTCAAAATCACAAGACATGTTATTATACTATCATTACTGAACTTGCATGTAGACGGCGTACGTCGAGCCAGGTGTTATGTTAAATCGTACGGTGGCTATGTCCTTTTTTTGGTTCTTATAATAATATAGTTAATCGTAGGACTCGGCTTACTCTAAAAATCAGTTTTTTTTAAATATATTATTTCTTAACTACCTAGAGTAGTCACGCTATCTTAAATATCTCTGCGGTGGTGACATGTGCGTCGGGTCGTTAGTCTCCTCATATATAGTTGAGCGAAGCGATGGCTGGCTCATGCGTCAAGCTCGTCAACGGGTGCTGCTAGTGGGGGTGAGTCGGCACTGGACTACTTATTTCGTCATTTTTTTTTACAATTAATATTGTATATTGATTTGTCAATAAATATGTATGACTTGGCAACGGACATATTAATCAGTTATCGAAAAATATATGTCTTGTTATTTCTGATATTGTAATGGAAATAGACTTCATAATCGAATTAAATCACATTCCAATAAGATTTCTCTGTGTGAAATAAAACAGAGAAAAAGCAGTCCTTGCTGAGTTTCTTGCTGGTTCTTCTCAGTACAAGGTCACCTCCCCTAGTTTTGCGAATCATTGGCATAGTTTTGCACTTTCAACAGTGCTATGTAACAGCCTAAAGTGAATTGATTTTGATATTTATATTAATATCATTCGACGTGGGGATGCATAATGAATGATACATACAATTACAAGCTGAATTCTCGTTCCGCTTTTTGTTCTTCATTCCAAACCCGAATTTGGATGAAAGTTACGAGCAACCAGTAAGTTGGCTCATCACTAATGATGACGTATAAACCAAACATCGTTCCTTTATACGTAACATAATAAATAACTTACACTTACGATTCAAATAAATTCAGGAACTAATTTTTATTTTTAAATACTTCCTCGTTGTATTTTCACCTCTATATTTTCGCTTATTGAGTCATTTGGCTTGTGTCGGTTGGCCAGCGACTCTGATGTATAATTTTCATTTTTGTACAAAGTACTTTGTTGTCAGACATACTAAAAAGACTCACTAATAAAATATATTATTTTTTTACTTCTCAATCTGTAATCTTGAGATTTGTACACGTTTATCTATTGTACAACTCTCTTGATAATGCACCAAAGGGCGGACTTAATGCCATACGGCATTCTCTGCCAATCGACTACAAACCATAAGGGGTGGCAACAATAAGATTAAAGAAAGAAAAATAAAACTAAGTGACAAAATAATACATATGTCATTTTTTTTTAAATATGATTTTGTCCACTTTGTCATCAGCTCTGCTTTTTCTTTGTTTTAGATCTTCCTACAAAACCATTTTATATACTAATATTATAAAGAGGGAAGATTAGATTGTTTGTTTATATCGAATAGTTGAGTATGTTTGTTTAAAAACTATTTCACCTACTTATTTTATTTAAATAATTTAAAAAACCAACAATATAAAAACTAATAATTTTGAAATTGGTCAAAAACTAGTAAGTCTTATAGTTTTCAGGCAACTTTCCTACTTCTTTCTAGTTTTTTGTCAAACGACAAGCACCGACCAAATGATAATTTATTTCAAGTTTCAAAGAAAGTAAGCTTTGTTAGCTTTTTTACTCTTTTTTTATTTCGAAACTACTTTTTTCTTACTTCCTTATTAAAGGTTAAACAAATAAATAGACAAAGTAATATTAGAAAAATGTTAGATTGAACTTATGCAGTTAAAGGTAACAATTCATTAGATCCGTCTTCGTCAATCTTGTAAGGTAAAGGCGTTGTTAATGTAGGCGGACCAACATTGGACTCTCTTAAAATCTTATGCGGTTTCTGAAAAAAAAAAATAGTATAAATAAGTCTTAGTTGGTATAATCCCTGCAAATTTTGGTGAATTGCGATAAAAAACTGAGTGCTTAGTTTGAGTTTTATTTGACGTTTATGTTTCACGCTCGATAGCGAGCGCGTTTAGAGTTTGTATGGAAACAAAAAAGCGCTATCTAGTGACACACTGGCTGAAACATATTTGCGAGTTTGAGTTTTAAACGCGTTCACCAATGAAAGTGAAGACCGATTCACGCTCGCAAGCGAATGCGTTTCTTGAAAAACGCGAGCATGAGTCATATGTTTTATGAACTTCAGTGAATTTTACGCAAACACACGTGAAAACGTCTCACTTGAATTTATTAAAAAAAAAATGAGCTCGTGCTGATGCTAGAAAGACTAGACTAGACTAATCGATGGTTTACAAAGGCAAACTATCTATTATTCTGATAGATCTCTTTTGGCAAATAAGAACTCGATTCGCATCAGTAGCACCCCCCGTACAGTAATTACACATGTAATTATTGAATGAATGATATCAGAATATTCCTGTCAACCAGAGGCTTAAGGTTAAAAAGCGGGTAATTAGCACTAGATATTTTTTTGCAGATTTTGTCTATATGGAAATCGAAACTAAGTGTTGAATCTATGTTACACCCAAGAAATATCACACTTTCATTATGCTGCCCAGTTTTTGTTTTACATTTATAGTTTAGAACATTACTCTGTTTCATTTAAAATAATGCCATTTCTGTCAAAGACATCGTTTCTTTTTTCAACTTAGTCTTGTTCAGTTCTGTATTTAATAATTATATGGGGTTCGTCAGCAAACAAAGTTACGAGGGCCCATTCCAGTAACAATTTTCTCAATCGTTTTTGTAAATTACAAAGAGTACAGGATCCTTTTTAGATCTTATTTACTGTAACTATTTGTTGTCTTTTATTTAAATTTAGTATTTTAAGTTATTTTAACTGGAATCAGTAATTGTTAAGTTTATGCAACATGCAACAAGATATCATGTTGTCAGCAATCGAAAACTTTGGACAAGTCGCAAAAAGTGCTCGTCCAATTCTGAGACTCATCCAGCGCATTCAATACAAAATCAATTGATTTTGCGATTGCCATTTCAGGCGATCTATTACCACGGAACCCAGTCTCTTATTATGAAATTTGATTCTAGATAATGAAACTAGATATAAAAATATTGGAAAGTATCCTGAAATAGAAGAATACCATTTTTAACTAATGACATTGGTTTATAGTTTTATTCGATTGGACTAATTCACTTATGAAAACTAAAAAATTACCAAAAGTTAAGAATTAAGAAGAGTCTGATTAGAGTCTTGGCGATTAACTATAATATATTCCGATTAAGATGATAAATCCGATTTATAACCTTAAAAATCTTTATTTTATTGTTACTCAGTTTCCTGGTCCCAAAAGTAAATTATATTAATAACAATGTTTTACGAACATATTTGAAAATTTAAATAATTGAGAAAATTTGAATTGAGAAAATGCATTTGGCTGGTCAACACTTGAATGGATAGTGAAAATGAAATTCTTTCATTAATTGACCTCTACTTTGATGTGCTGATGATTGTACAGTCAACAGCACGTCAGATTATACAAAACTGCCAAGAATCGTCATTTAATTTTAAATCTTATTACATTGATGGTAGAGCCTTAAATCAACCGTAGAAAGACATATTGTGGTAGACTAACGTGTATATTACACGTTATATTTAAAAATATAAAGAAAGTGACTTTCAAAAAATTACCATCTTGAATATTTCTGATTGTGTTAGTGCATTTCTGTCTTCATCATCCTCATTGTCATCTTCTTCATCCCTACTATCGTCTTCATTATATCCATCATCACCGTCATCATCGTCTCCGTCATTCTTCTCGTTGTTGTTCTCTTCTTCTTCATTTTCTATTGTTTCATCTTTTTCTTCTAGAGTCTCCCAAGCAACATCTTTATCTACAATTTAGAGTTCAAAAGAGTTTACAATTAACGTAGCAAAGAGGCATCGATTATGGATTTAAAAGAATCAAAGATTTTGTAAAGAAGTCATTCCTTAGGCTGATAGATTTTTTTTTATTTAATTATCAACACACTTGATGGTTTACAAAAATTATATATTATATACTATTTCTGATTGATTGGAAAAAGGAGAAAGAAAATTAATGTTCATCAGTATTAGTAACAAAAGAAAAATTTGGCTTATAAGTTTGTAGCAATAGTATATTGTATGTACAGTACAAAGAATTTTGACAAGAGGTTGCCTAGTTGAACGTTCTGGTAATAGGTTACAGAATGTAGTTTTAAAGGAAATTCTTAAAATATTCACCATTTTCAGATCTCTTCTTTCTCTAAGAGTAACATGGTGAACGCAAAATTGTTTTCCCAATAGCTAATTACACGTATGCCCGTTTTCACTAAATTTACGAGTCACCCAAATCTGTCGCTCAAATATTTAATTAGGAGTCGCCTAAGGTAAAAATGCATTTCACTATTGACTAGGAACCATCAACGAAATTAACATTTTCATGTCTAAAAATATGATATGCGTTATGTGGCGCCTTGCGGTAGGCGTTTGCGGATATGACAGGTCATAAATATGTCAAGGGATAAAAGAAAAAATATTTATTTGGAATTAAACTAATCTACTTAGGCTATTCTTAATATTAGGCATTTCCTAGCCTTGTTCCAGGTTAGTGAAAATGGGTGTTAAAGTATGAAACTAATTAATTTTAAATGTAAGAAACACGTAGATATATTACCTCTAAATCTAAGTGAACCTCTTCTGATCACCGGCTTCTCTCCGTTGGATACTTCAATTATCACCTTGGGTATTTCTTCTATTGTGACACCATTGGATTTTTTATCACCGTCTTTATTAGCTTCAATATCGTCTTTCATCTACAACAAAGCGTGCATTATATATCGATGAAGTTTAATAATGTTCCTTACCATATTAGTCACAAGCTTATCGAAAAATACCTGTAGAAATGATACACTAGGTTCTTGTAACTTAACGGCTTTTTCTTTATTCCTCATGATATTTTCATCGGTTTCTTTCTCTAGACGTATTTTGTGAGCTTTGTGTGTTCGCCACATCTGCAAAATAGGTATTTTCTAATGAAAGTCGATTATAACAATAAGTTAGATAAAACGAAAAACTTTGTTTACGTTGCCTAATGTATATAGTAATTTAGCTTTGGAAACAGAGCTCATCAAAATAAATTTGTACGTGATAATTACATGATAACCACAATAACAGAGTCCAAGTAGAAATATAACTATTAACGCTATAAAAAATTTGTCTGTGTTCTCCTCTTCCGTGTCAGGCTGTTGATATAAGGAGTCGTAGGGTGTTCTAGACGGGGGATCCTCCACCCATGTCTTGTCCACGCTCTGTGAACAATTTTTAACTTAAAATTAAAATTCATCAGACAGTCTAAGCCATTATTAGTACTCGTGAAAGTCAAAAGCTATGCCATTGGTTGACATATTTACGATGTAAAAGCTTGTATTGAGAATCACCGACAAGAAATTCAGCAAGGGCTGCTTTTTTCTCTCCTTGTGTAATTTTATAACATTATGAAGTCACTTTCCAACAAAATGTTAAAAATAAAAAATAATTTAATAATCGACTAAAATTCGTGCCACACAACTATGTAATATTATTATACATGGATATTATTTATTTATTATTGTCGCAGTTATTTTAATGTCATTATTTGCTGAAGGAAAATTGAAAAGGTGCTCGATATGGTGCAGTGGGTAGCGGGTTCGGAATTATTGTTAAAGCCGGTCACCGGATGGGCAGTCAAAGATTAATATTTTTATTTTGTGTTTAGTAGAAATTTGAGATGTGATCATATTTTAACACTTCAATTTTTTAATGGGCACCTCCACCGAGCTGCTCTAGATACAACTCGAAAGGAGAGAAACTATCTTTCAATGTGTGAGGCTCGAAATCCGAAATTTTGCCACACATCTGCCAGCTTCGGGTTAAAGACAGGTATTAAGATCTCAGACCAGAAAGAGAAAAAACGAGAGGATTGTTTAGAAATAACGGCATTAAGGAAGAAGAGAGTTTAAAAGAAAGCAAGGAAGAGGAAAGGGGGCACGTGTATAAAAAAATGGATCGACTGTTCGCTAATAGTAATTTTAGGTGGGTAAGATGCGGCTAATAAACTGCATGAAATACATATTCAAGAAAACTATATAATATACATATTTCAATTTACTGGTTGTAGTTAAGCTGTATTAAAGGCCTTCAAGGTAGAGTAGATCTTAAGAATTAGCTTGACCTGCGAGTGGATTAAGTCTTTCTTAAGAGTATAATAGTGAAGTTGCCACCCAGGCGCTCCAATCGCACGCCATCCGGCAGAAGTTCGGAGATACCAGTAAGGCAAGTGCGCTCTGCTGTGTCAACCCTCTTGATATCTAAGTCGAACGGTAGGAAATCGGCCAGTGCGAGGGCGCTCTAAAATGGTGCGGTATTATTTTTAGCAATTTCATGCTTTGGAAGGCACATTAAGTCATCTATCCGCAACAGCTTACACTATGAAATTCTATCCAGGAGGAAGGCTTGTTGGGAAAAGACTGATGACGATGATACTATCTGATAAATTAAAATAAAAAAAAGCTAATGCACAGCTCAATGATCCGTCTTCTGTCTCCGGTTGTACTTCATTCAGATATATATACATTTTTCTCAAATATTGCAATTTTTATGCAGATAAAAACTTATTTTACCTTAAACCTAAATTCTACTCACAATAAGGAAACTGCCATTGTGCGTCGATCCCAATTGATCGTGTTCAGGCCAAGCTTCATCAAAATCAGTGGAGCACTGGGCACTTCTGACTCCTTGTGCATTTACTGCATTCACTTTCTCAGAGTCAGAGCGAGTGAAGAGCATGTACTCTTCTAGAGGTTTCATTATGTACTCGTTTATTTCTACGAAGATATCTAGAAGCAGATTTTGATTTAGTTAACAAATATGAATAAACGTATGCGTTTGACATAAAATCTCAACACAATACGCTTAAAGAGGTTATGTAAAACTAAAGTTAATTTAAATTTAATTGCTCTAAAGGCAAATGCAGAGTTTCGAATGTATGATATTTCCATAGGACTTTTCCTACTTTTTCGTTTGAACATGTGTGTCATCACATATCAGCCTTGTACTTTGTATCAACAGTTCAGTCTTGTACTTTGATCATTATTCGATACTTTTGAAGTTATTTCAAACTTAAAAAAACTAAAACATAAACGATTGATCCATTCACTTACTGGAGAGACACCCATTATAACCTTTGTAAATTTTTAGCCTAGGATCTGTAGTATTCAAGCCACCTATCTGCACTTCATTTGATCCTGTATCGAACATTTCCCATAAACCTTGAGGCGAAAGTTTCTCCAGCGGCACCTCTATTCTATCTATTAAAAGTTTCGCTTCTTGTCCTATTCTAGTATAATAAACTGTATGACGAGCACCTATAAGCAATTATGTTTTATATATCAACCTTGTTGTCAAAATATATAACAACTATAACGAATCTTTACTACTTACCATTGAGAAAATTTCTGTTTTTAAATTCAGCACCATATGCTGAATATTCTCGATCTTCTTCGAATTTAAGATATCCATCTTGCGTTATAGCTACTAGCAAGTAATATCTTCGCCTGAAATAGTTTCATAATGTTATAAGTTTTTTTGATTTACTTAAATTATTAAAAGTTAACAGAAGAAATGATTTTACTTATTCTCAGTCTGTACTAATAGCAGTACAGTATTCTTTTGTCGCAAATCGTTGCTTGAAAAGGCCAGTTTTATTTTAACCTGCAAGAATAATATTAAGAAAATATTAATGATGATGTTAAACTGTCCTACATATGTCCATTCACTAATCTAGATCAAGCATAGCTATTCTCCTAATTTGCCTAATGTTAAGATAAGCTTAAGCAGATTTGTCGTTTCATCAATATATTTTGACTTAGAAAACTTGTAACTTATTCTGGCTGTGTTGTCTATTGTGTTCTTAGGAGAAGATATAGGAGTGAATTATTTCACAACGACTTAGTAGAAACGTTCAATGAAAGTTGCCAGTGTTTAGCTTTAGCTAGCACATGATTTCCTTGTTTTGTGTCGTAAGTACGAGAAGTGTAAGTAGAAGATGTGTTTTCTTTAAATACAATACAATTTCTATAATTATATTTGCACTTTTTAGTTATCTAATGATCTATTAATACACGTTATTACCCTAGTGATATCGCCAGTGAAGACAAATTTTCGCTGGAGGATACTTTCTCCATTGAAATCGGCACCTTTTTCCTCCATGCAATACTCTCCGAAATAGCTCGTTAGTTCGCAGTCGCAACTACTCTCCTGATTGGTGAAGTCCTCGGTGCATATACCGCCATTTTTACATGGCTCAGAATCGCACTTCATATTGCACTCTGGTAGAATGCCGGTTAAGTCTAGAAAATATTGTTTTTAAACGATACTTATGATATGAATAATGTTTTGAAGGAAGAAGAAAGTAATTTATAAGTAACAAATGTTTTCATCAAACCTCTTCTATGATTTATTGAGATATAATATTATAAGTATGCTTAAATTGAATTCGTTTATTGGAATGCCATTATGGTTTCATCTAAGTTACTGAATGTGAAATCGAACAATGTTGTGATGAAACAAACTGACGTGTTGTATTATTATTATATTTGTTATTGTTTGATATTCGTATTAAATAAAATTTATGCAGTTTCTAATGCTGATGAACTTGGTTGAAATTTAAAGTAGTTAAAGTGGACTTCAAGGTAACAAACTATTTACCTTGATCTATCTCATCTTGTGCCTTTCTAGATAGATCTACAACATGGTCAGCTATTTTGAAACCTCTAACGCAGCCTACGTATCCACCCTGTGGTAATATGTTAGCTCTTGGAGCTAAGTGTAGAGAGAATTGATCAAAACCTCCAAGATTCATTTGGAAGTAGTCTGTAGGTGGAGCCGGTGGTCTTTGTGGAAGAATAACCTCTAAAAATTATAATAAAAACAAAAGTTGATGTGAATTGAGCAACAGTTTAACGAATTTACTCGTAAATATTCAGTGATAGTAATAGTCATTATTACAGTTTCTACGAAAAAAAATTGTGATTTATTTTTTAAAATTTGATAAAGTTCTGAAAAAGCTGATTTTTTTATAGGTAGTATTGAAATTAAGAGGTAAGTATAGAAAATTTTCTTTACGTCTTTTCAGGCTGAGTTGATTGTGGTTTTTCTGATATGTAAACACACAAGTGTGGGTCAATAATATTTGTTCACAACAATATCAGTACCATAAGCGTCTCAGAAAATTAAGAAATTCGGTTGTAATATAAGAACCATCTATAAAATTTATACATATTTAGGATCTTACCTAAGTCAGGATTTATCCACGGCTTGTTAGTGTAATTTGTCAAAAGCTTTGCCACTTTTTCAATTGTTGTATTTTTATCATTTACGTGTAGTGTAGTAGTATTTTCTGTCCTTATAATGGCTATTTGTACACTCTCTCCTTTATTTATCTTTTCATATGTAACATTCATTTGTACTATTTCATCTTCATGGTTGAACAGATATAAGATTTCAGTGCCATTGTGAATGAAGATATGTATAAAATTATTAAGATTATCGTTAGCATATAGGACTAGTGAATTATCGTCGTATGTCCTTAGATTCATCAGTACATTTTCAGTCATCATTTTCTTCAGTCTTTGCTTTTCAGCATCTGTTGCATTGTCTACTAAGTAATTTTTCTTTAAATATGCTTCTTTGGTTTGAAAAGTTAAAGCTTTTCTGTTAATGTCTGAAATATTTCCATTATCATTGTTAAGATTTATTTTATATTAATGCTATTAATAATTTACGTAAAATTGACAATACCAATATGAATACTTACTTTCTTCGCAATGTATTCCAAGATGGGCCCAAGGATTTTTACATATACATTCGTAGCTGGACCATAGCTCTTTACAAGTGGCCTTGTTCTGACAGGGATTAGGAACACAAGATGGCTTGCAGTCCTTAATGATCTCTGACAAGTGGACTGACATGTAACTGTAGATGTCGAGTATTTCTCCATTCACTACTAGACCTCTGAAGCAGCCAATAAGGCCTTGGTGTACTGCAGACTTTTTGAGATGTTCTCTAAATATAAAGTATAACGGAACTTAAGAGGTGGAAATAACCTCAGCGACATTTAAGTGAAGTGACTACATTTGTTGATGTTACCTATTAATATATAATAAAATAGTAGCGTGTATTATTTATTGTTAGAAAGATAAGCTTTCTAAGAAATCAAAGCTACTGAAGAGTAAAAAAAGTACTTACGCCGTTGCTCCTCCAATAAACATAGATCCTTCAAAAGGTCCAAATTCTTCTTCTAATAGTAAATTCAGCATTTGATATTCCGTATTGAGCATGAATCGCACGTGGTAGAAGTTATAATCTATCCAAATCTTATGCCATTCACCGCCGTTTAGTTTCCTTTTGGAGTTTATGACTAATTTTCTTGTAGTACCAGTGTTGAGGGTGAAATTGAATGTTAGTTCGTGTTCTGTAACGTACGTAAAGATGAAATTTCTAAATTATTTCCTTTAGTAGATTAATATTATTTTATCTAATCAAGGTTTTATTTAGCTTTTAGCTTTATTCCTGATTAATTTACAGAAAAAATTGGCCAAAATCTGAAGGTAAAGATACTAAATTGGCGTTTGTTCTAGTTTTATTTTTCTAGGTATATTCTATATATACATGTAGCTAAACTATTATTAAATGAGTTCGTGATTTTTTTTCACTTTTACCATACGAGTATATCACATAGTTTACTGTAGAGTATCTATCTATATCCTCGCGTCATACTCCCTTGCGGGATAGGCAGAGGACCGAACGCCAGAAAGTACAGTTCTTACATACATCTTCTCCTTCAACCACTTTCAATATTCTTCTCATACATACTTTGCTGGTTCTTATGGCTTTTGTCATTTCTTTGTTGTCTAGTCAAATGATATAAAGTGTTCTTAAATTAGGAAAATACATTGATATTTTTTTCTGGCTTACCACTAGTTAAAGCCACCATAAAGGACGGATAATTGGGTCTGATAGGTGGTTGGAACAGTAATATAGCACTGGTGCCTGTTGTTCTGAAACTAAATGCTATATCACCTTTCCGCCATCCCGGCACTTCTATGTATGACTGGGATGTCGTAAACGTGACTACGTAGCGTTGAGTATCTAGAATAAAGTATTTTATATCAGCAAATTAATTTAAAACCACTATTTTCATAAGAAACATATCTATGATGCTTTCTTTTTCAAACTTCCTATATATTTTGAAAGTATTTTGTATAAAGTTATTAAATATTTATCATTACTTAATTTTGATACTCTTGTCAAATTTTCTAATGACATTATTTTCCAATTCTGGTTATTTGTATGCATTTCAAAGATTATGATTTATCTTTAGCGATGTGTTAACAATGCTAAATGAACATGTATCAGTGAAATTTCTTATGAATCTAGAATAATTTTAGACTTACTAGTTTCGACACACTCAAGAGGCCCTAACGTGATCCGTCCCTGAGCTTCTTCGGTTAAGTCTTTTTGCTGTAAGAAGAACATTTCAGTGATACCCAAACTCTTGGGGTCTACGTAGACTCCTTCGTCGGAATGCCATTTGTTTTCGTTGGCATCGCAGTTGCAAGATTGCGTGGGATTTACGCAGGTTGCGTTCACTCCGCAGGGACAATACCCTCTGAAAAGTAATAGCCTGCTCGATGTATGGGAGAAGTTGCTAGAATAGTGTTGAATTTCGGTGTCGATTGAATATATAATTCTTCATCGAATATAACTAATTTATAAGCTTATTCGTTGGATTATCACTTTTTATATTTACATCGCTGTTTGTCAAAGACGTCATCTTAAATCGCATATTCTAATTAATATTTGCAAATGACCTTATGCGAAAAAAATGTATAGGCGAAAAATTCCATATTATTAACGGTCAGAAAAGTTTTCTTTGGATCTATACTAATATTATAAATAGGAAAGATTTGATTGTTTGTTTGTTGGCAACAAATAAGCTCCGACTCTACTGGATCGATTTTAAAAGTTATTTTTAAATTTAAGCAGTTTACGCGGGAATAAATAATTTTATTAATGTTTATCCCGCTAAACAGTTTCCTAGGGATCACGCGCGTGAAGACACTGGCGGAAAGCTAGTTTTTTTATAATTAATAATAAAATGATATGATGTTATTAATTATAAGGGGGCATCATCAGTTTAATGTGTCATCTCTGGTCTAATTTCGAACAGATTATTCATGTTTCGAAATAGGATAATTTCAACAATTTCAAAATCATTTTTTCGTCTATTGCCTTGAGAATAATGATACGGCTGTTGATTAAATTCTATTGCTCTGAATTTCCCAATCAGCCATTTCTCAGCAATCTTAAAGTTCCTTGGAGATAGATTATATATTGTTTTGAGTAGTATATATATAGTAATATTATAAATACGAAAAATTTGATTTTTATTTGCATTTCAATAGACTCCAAAACTACTTGACCGATACTACTGGAGATCACACACGGGTAACATAAACTATAATTTACAAGCATATTAAACAGCTAGTTACTAATATAAGTTAAGATTGGCGATCAATAGCTCATTAAGTAGGAATCTACCTCTTAACGTTGCCAAGGAAGTCAATGGTATCGTTCGAGGAGGATATAAACCATGTTGCGCTGTGCAGTTCTAAAGGCGCCATGTTGCAGTCGTATTTTATGTACTGCCGACAGAACAGCGAATGGGAAATGAGCTCTTGTAACATTTCAGCTGTGAATTCCCTATATTTGATTTTGAAACTGAAGTCTTGACCTGATGCTGATCGGACGTCCTGAATGAGAGAACAATTATTGTGATTTCTCTTTTCTATAAAACTCTAACTTGAGATTATGTCCTAATATAAGCAGATATTTTTTTATCGAATATACAAGTATTCGAATGAAGTTAAAATTGTTAACAATTAGAATACTATTACTATAATTTGCTATTGAAAATCTTACTTCATTCAAATTCTAATCTATTTATTGATCAAAAGTTATGACATTTTCTCAAGTAATTACTTCTCCCGACAATTGATACGTGTATGATAAAGTATTTTTTGCTATCAGAATTTCATTTTGCTGGCTAATACTACCCCTGAAAATATGAGAAGTATGACTTAACATCGCTTACCACTTGGCTGGGTAAATTGTGTTCTACAACTGTGGTAGACGAATCAGCTTCTATTTGGAATTCACATTTAACATGTGCTGGTGGGAATCTACCGTTACCATCAATGTCTATAAGGTAAACATCATTTCTTGTGTATCCGAGCAAAGCTAATTCTTCACACGTCTTTCTGAAAGTGGCGAAGTGACAATTCTCGCCTATATACCCTGCGAAATAGTAATATTAATTTACATGTAAACTTATAAACTGCGATATACTTTAGTACTTTATTTTGGACTAGTAAAATTTATTAAAGAACAATTGAAAAATAATATTGACAGCCGACATCGGACATTTATTATTTAGTAATACACGCGTACAAAGGGGTCCGTTCGTGCGCGATTAGCCTACTAAAAACGGTAAAAAAAACACATTTGTTCTTTTCTACGGAGATGTTCGAAATTTTCGTGTTAAATACAATTAATCGACTATTATTCGTAAACTTGAAAGCCAACTTAAATGTGATAGTTTGCCTTTTAACTTCGTTATACATAGGTACTACTGTCGTAACAATTATTATTCCCACTTAACGGACGATCGGACGGACGCACAGATAGACATGGCGAAACTATATAACAAGGAACCATTCCTTGTTTATTACGGAACCCTAAAAATCGCACAAATATGCTCTTCATATTTTATAAAAAAACTAAATAATATTAGAAAATATGGTCAATAATTACTGATTGAACAAGATGGATGAAACTTCCAATTAAACTCTCATTTGAAACTCATTTCATAGACATTTTTGTGTTAAGTTAGAGATTCCTAATCCAATAGCTAGAAGGCACCTATTATGTAAATGTGCTAGAGTTAAACGATCACCTACATTTTTATGTTTCTTTGATGAGATATAGTGGGAAGGACAAACAGAACTATATTATTAACATATACTGATTAACATTTTCACCGGAAGTAAAGCACGTATTCAATAGTCGTAAACTAGTTATGGTGATATAATTCGCGATAGCTTCTTAATGTTAATAGTATCAAAGTTTTTGTTCTCACGATTTTAATGTGTTCTATTTATCGACTTTCATACGTGCGACGATTAATGTTTAGATTTCTGAGAAGATTTAATATTATGATATTTGTGATTTTTTTATGATATTTATGCTAATATAGACCATGCATCTCTATAATTGTTTTTAAATTGATTGTGATTTTGATCTGAATATGATCGAATTGATTGCAGTTGACATCGTTCTCATCGTTGGAGATGGACGCTAGGTCCGGCCAACCTAGAAAAATAGAGATGGAATTGCGAGAGTTGGCTTCAAAATCAGCAGAACCAAAATCAAATACATGTTTTGCCGTCTCTCTAACCCTATGCCAAACAGATTACAGTCGCTTTTATTGAGTTGAAATGTGTATGCTAAGATGGGTGTGTAGAACATAAGAATAGAATGGACAATATGAAGAGTGTGTCCTAATCTACTCACACTACAAATTTTTAAAAAAAATTGAGTAGAACATTATTAAAAGTTTATTAACACAACATTAGAAGTGACTATAAGACATGATTTGTTTGTCATAAAGGGTTATGAGTTTATATGTGGATGGAAATGTACGGGGAGGAAGACCGAAGATAAATTGGGTAGACTATGTGAAAGAAGATATATGTGAAAAGGACTGAATGTTGAGAATACAGATGATCAAGAAATATGGCAGAAGATTAAATATTGTACCGATTCCAAATAAATAATCGCAAAAATTATATCTCTAAACTTTATAATGTTATGTGTAAAAATATGACCTATGAATGAGTTAATAATACCCGTATGCAACTGATTACAGAAAATAGTGTTTCAATCATTTTGGATGTAACAAGTAGTTATCCAGCAAACATTTCTAAATTCAATAAACTGCAAAATCACACTGCACTAACTCACTCTGCACTCTTTTTCCGTTCCTCCTCTGGGTATATATCACGTTTCTACATATGTACTAGCTGACCTGGTTAACACTGTTTTGCCATATAAATTTGGTGCGGACTACTCTTATCGTATAAAAAATAGATAACAACCTATTCTCTGTCGTACTGAATAGACATATAACATTTCATAAAAATAAGTCAAGATATTTCGGAGGGGTATAGTTAAAAATTTTTTTTACGATAATTGTATTAGATATGTTTCTTCCACTCACCAGTATTATCACAGTTGCAGATGACGCGATCCTCTCGTATAGAGCAGACGCCTCCGTGTTCACATGTGTTGGGTCGTGTACACGGGTCTACGTACCGACAGTCGTCGATGGCCACTTCGCCGACCACTCTCTCAGTATTAATGACGAATCTAAAATATTACGATTAATTAATCTGACAGATGACTGATTTTTTTTTTAATTTATTCATAAACATAAAATCTCTTTTAAATAAAATCACGATAACAGGTAGATATACAATAAGATCGTTAGACACAATTGAAGTTTTAGATGAACCCCATAAAATTTTCAATATCTTTTTTTTTTACATAATTTATGTTTTGTTGTGCTTTTTTTGGGATGTTTAGTTTATGGGATCGATGTGAGTGTCCGACAGAAGGTGTAGGTAATAGATATTTAACCGTTGTATAAAAAGACAAAGACATCCTATTACTTTTCGAAATGTTTTGTGAGATTCAAAGCAAGAGCTCCGGCTACTGAAAGCACTTTTTTAATATTTTACATTACCTCGGCTCTATAAGAAGACCATTGATTTTGATGTTCCTCATGCACCCAATCAAACCAAGATTAGCAGATTTGAGACCGCTGCCGATTACAATTTTGTCTTGCAATTGGAAGTCGAGACCTAAAAAACAAAGCGTATTTGATTTCATTTGCAAATTATTTCCCTTTTATTTTGTCATTGATAGAGAAAACATTGAGATATTGTTGGTGTATTATGCAGTGACAATTATGTGATATAGTATCAAGGATTCCATTCTATTTAACAGAATAACTAAGAAGATCATGCTATAATTAAAGAATCTTCACGCGATAAACTGCATATAAAACTGAATTCTTTTATCAAAATGTCAGCTAGACTGTGGAGTGGCTAGAGAATTTAATATTAAAACAATTATGTTAGTTAACACCAAAAGAGATATTTCTTATAATAAAATTTCATTATAGAGAAGACACTCTACGACACCAAAAAATACATAAGTTGGAGCAGGACTAATCAAGAACCCATTTACTGAAAACCTAACTCATTGACAAATGCTATTATAATATTGACTAATTTTTTAATGATAAATAGGTAGTACATATCAACGAAAATATATGTTTTAAGGAAATGTGAAATTTTATTAATAAATTTAGGACTGAAAGTGTAAAAAAACTGGTTTGTAATCTTAAATTCTTTGAAATTAAATTTGAATTTGCTACACCATTACAGGGTGTTATATGAACTGTACTTATTATTGAACAACTTTATACTATGTGACACGTAATTAATGATTATTATTATTGCTATAAATAAATAAATTAAGAAATAAATAAATTAAGAAACTAGTCTCAATATATGAAATGTCGATTTTAAGACTATGGAGCTCGATAACAGATTTCTAGCATAGGTAAAACTTTAGTAGACAAAGACTGGGATCGTGTGAAGGTTCTTGATAAAGAGACAAAGGCTCTCACGTTATTAGATATTTATTATAATATCGGTTTATAACCAGAGCCGTCATGATCCTGTTTCACAGAATATATATATTTATTTATTTATTTAAGCTTTATTGCACAAATTAAAATGTACAAATGGCGGACTTAATGCCATGGGGGCATTCTCTACCAGTCAACCGGAGAGTTTTAGCAGTTTTAGTTTTAGTTTCAATATATCAGAGCGCATAAAGCTACCCCTTATAGGTCGTAGGTTGTTGTTAGGTAGACATTGAGTTTTAAAGGATATCATTAATATTTAATTAAATATTTTATTAAATATTTTGCTTACCGAACATTTGTGCGTGTTTGTTGAGATGATCCACAGTAAGCTTGATCCTGCCTTTTCTATAATCTAACTCAACGTTATGCCAGTCGTTGCTCACGTTGAATTTAACTGATTTTAATACAGTAACGTTCTTTCCCACATCTGGGACAAGTTCGAAGCGGATCTCCTCTTTTACCATCCTTACCTAAAAATTTACACTGTTATTTGCTAATATCTTCGATGTTCTGTTAACGGTTTCTCTTCAGAGCTGCCAGATCGTATATTAATATAAGTAGCTTATAATTAATTATGGTAATAAATTTTCTATATTTAGATAAGTAACTTCATGGGTTGCCTGAAAGATGTCGCTATGTAGAAAAAAGGCCGCATTTTTTTATAATGCAATAAAGAGTATTAATATTATTCGAAACCTGTAAAAGGCTTCCCTAATGTTATATAGAAGATTTGTTTGCATTGAAACTAATGGACCGATTTTAAAAATCCTTTGCTTACGGGAAGCTACATTGTATGCGGGTGACAAGCGGCGATGTCGCGGGAAGCAGCTAGTTTTAATATAAGGTTTATAAGTACATAATGTAATAAGCTATTAGTTTCAATTAAAAATAAATTTTCATATTATATCAATATAGCTAAAGCCGTAACAAACAAAGCAAAATACACAAAATAGTTATCGCATATAAATACTATTACGTATCTTTATAATTTTTATCGAACAATTACGTTTTACAGAATTTTACACACTGTCTTGTAAATCATCAGAAAAAATCGCTGGAAAATCGTCACTAACGAGCCATTGCGAATAAGATAATTGTACAATAAAGTTCTCTGGTTGTTTCTTTTCTAATTTTTCACGTATTTTTTGTACGCATATTAAGTCGAGAAGAATTTTAATTTTATAAGAATCGTATCGGAACATTTCTCCAAAGAAAGTTGATTGGATTGCATGGAGAAACTACTTTTTAATTAACGTTGACAATATTGTTATCTACAGCAATTCTTTTAACACATCAAAGATCCAAGAGTGTTTTAAACCTCTGTGGCCGACTATAAATAAAAAACCAATAGCATAAATTTAAAAATCCTTACCTCCCAATAACCTTGCCCAGACGTTATCTGACTGTAAGCTAAAACCGCCATGTTCTTACTAGTCTTAAAGTCGAATATCAGATTAATACTGTTGGTCTGATTCAGCGGCCACCATATATGGGAAGTCGCGAAAGGATAAGTGATCGGTATCAGTTCTATATCAATCTCTTCGAATTCCGGATCCAATACGCCAATGTAATGTACTTTTGTGTTGTTCTGTTTCAATTCGTATAGTATAGATACGTCGTTGTAGTAAACGTATTTTAAGTTGCCAGCGAAATTATTGAATGATTTCAGCCCTTTCATTTTATGCAAATCTGGCCCACCGCATATATATATCTCTGGGTCTATGCATACGTATCTCGAGTGCCCCGATACTTCGTAAGTTTTCGTTACGTCATCCAAATAAACGAAAACGATATTTTCTTGCAATATAACTGTTATGTTATGCCAGTGATTGTTATTGACTTTCTCCCCTATGTAATCTTCAACTGGCCCATCACCAAGATCGATCTGTATTGCCAATCTTTCTTGGTGTATTGATAATGCTATATAATGATGTTTGTCGTCTATTTGACCGCTAGCGTAAAACAGAGCTGAATCATCAAATCGAGTCTGCAATTATTTATATTAGCTTAATTTAGGATCAGCAAACTCCTATGCGACTTTATTTGTTAGATGATTTATTTCAAAATCCAATAACAAAGCAATATAAAGTCATGTAACCTCTTATTATTTCAAAATCTTAAAATAATGCTGATAAGAAATGATGGTTTAAATATTAAAAACAAAACAATTCCAAAAATTGTTGCGTAAAAGAGTTACCCACTTTAAGAGTGTAAACATTTTATGTAATTGATTAATTACAAGAGATTAATAATAAGAGTGATAATTTTTTTTGTATAGCAAATTTAGGATTACTGTTGAAACTGTAATATATCTTGGTATTATTATTATAAAGTTGTGCAATAACCTTGGGTTGCAATTACAAAGTTGAAATATAGAAACTTGCCTTAAAATGTAGGCTCACTCTTGTATTCGTGGAGTGAACACGATCTTTCCAATCGTAAACTCTATAAGACACGTAGCTGGATCCACGAAGAGTGAGGACTGTTGCCGCTGGAAATACATTAAGACACATTTAAGCAGAGCTAATTATTTAAAACTATATATATTTATTTAAAACGATCTTACTATTTTAACAACGTGAAAATATAGAAAAGAATCCTATTTATAATGTTCCTTGTTTGAAACAAAATATAATATTATTTTGAGATATACTTGTCACTAATTTATAGTAGGTATTTCTAGCTTTTTTCGTTGTTATTTAAAAAAAATCAAATCTCATTAATTTATTGATGGATCTGTCCTGCGATTCTGTAAACATCCAGACCCGAATTCGAATTCCCTCATATGTCAGATTTCACGTAATTTAGTAAAAGAATTATATTAATTCCATTTTTTCTATAAAAATACATAAATTGATTGATTATACGTGTCTCAGATATTCTATTCCTATGTTATTTCGAAACTCACTTCACTTATGCCAAGAAACGTTAATACCAATTCAAGTTTGAGCGGATGCCGCATTTTGAAGTGAATAGGGAATATGCACATTTTTGGAAAATTTACATCGATATATAACTGTAAAAAATACCCGGCACCGAAAAAAATAAATTTTGTAACATTAATCATCGATGAAAATAAGTAATAGCTAAGAGCAGTTTAAACACCGGAATTTCTGGCGCTCTTGTCGTGACGTCAAAGTACACGACTAGAGATATGACATTTTAAATCAATATGGATTTTGAGTTATTGATTTTTATTCAATTACCCAAATCGATTAACAACTAATCGATTTTTTAAAGTATAATAGACTTTTTTAATAAATCATATAATTTACCAAATAAGTGAAATAAAAATAAAAGGCTAAAACATAATTTAAATTGTAATCAGTTGTTTATTTTGCGACATAATACATTGATGTTATTGTATCGATGTTAACTTTTTGTAACAACTACATCCCTACACGTGTACATTTTCGTCACATCCGCTCTGACAAGTAGCATGGCGTTTTAATATTTTGAAGTTACCGCATTTATTTTGCACTTTTTAATAATTATTTTCAAGACGAAAACGAACTAATGTTGAAAAATATTTAGATATACTTTATTCTAAAGCAATAACGACTGTAATAAAAATATATTTAACCCTTTTTTGAATCAGACGCATATTCCCTATTGGGACACCTGAGTGAATTCAAATTCTGGTTTGTTTTTTAGAGAATCGCAGAGCTGTTCATTTTAAATCGATTAAAGTTGGCATATAAAATAAAAATTACAACTGCACCTGCGCATGATGCAACAGATATAATATATAGTCATAAAAATACAGTCGCTATTAGTGAAAGTAACGTGTTTTTAACTTCAGATTATTTTGTGAATGATATATTAATATACATTTTTTGTGTAGAGTTTGGAATTTATTTTTTATATGATACTAGCTGTCACGAGAGTTCGTCCGCATTACTTATATCCTATGTAGTTATTTATTATGATATAGCTTCGGTAGATAATCTCACTTAAACTTTTGTAGTTTCTGAGCATATTCAAAGCGAACAAACAATCATTCCTTATAATATTAGTACAGACCATATGTATAGATTGAACAAGATAATGTACTTATAAAATCATTCAAACGACCACTTTATATGTATTTATTTAAAAAAAAAATAAGCAGTCAAAGCACTTTCAAAGTAACCGAGCTTATCTTGATAACTTAGCTTAATCGTAATCTCACGGATCAGTAATTAACTCAAAACAATAAGCTAAGTTACGAACAAGTTTCTAATTGTGCAGAAAAATGTTGTTTAATATCTCGAAAGTTCTTCACTTTCGAATGGAGTTGTTTTAAAGTTTAAAATAATATTAGACTAAATATTTTTTTAAAATATATTTAAAGCTGTCGATGAAAGACTTATATCCATAAGATACGACAAGTAATATCCATTTAATTGATAAACTTTTTATTTTTTTTATTACATTTTATTTCAAGATTTCACTAAAATATCGTTTTTCGATTAGCAAACTAGACAAAACTGTTATACCTAAATAAATCATCAGTAAATTTATATTATTAGGTACGAATATATTCTTTACGAGTAGCTCGGTGGCGTAGTGGATAAGCGCCGCGGCCCGCGATCGTTGTCGTTAAGCAACTTTCACAAGGGTCGGTCACAGGATGGGTGACCAAAAAAAATATTATCTCGAGCTACTCCGTGCTTCGGAAGGCACGTTAAACCGTTGGTCCCGGCTACATTTGCAGTCGTTAATACCCTCTTATCCGCATTGGGCCAGCGTGGGGGGTCAGGGCCCATCCTCCTTAACCATCCATAAGGAAGGCCTGAGCCACTGCAGTGGGGACGTAAAAGGGCTGGTGATGTGATGATATTCTTTACGTTATCATTGCTATGTTATCATATATCATATTGATAACATATATATCATAAGAAAACCAAATAAATAAATATACAATATCTATAAGATAAATAATAATTTAGTCTAATATAACACATCGAACAATGTTGAGTATTATGCGTTCTCTCTCAACGTTTATAATTTTCTCACGGCAAAACGATGATGGAAAACACCGATACAGATAAAAAAAACTGTTTAAGCACGAATGTTAGGAATCTAATGGTTCACGCTTTTAAAAGGCACGAATAAGGAAAATATTTCAAATTAACGTTGTGAACGCCTCACATCTTTGAGAATTTATTTAGAATTAGGAAAATCGTTATCTCATTTTTTTTTGTATTTTATTCCTTTTATTTGTACTTAGTTGGGGACCATGGTAAGCAGTGCTATTCTGTGCTAAAGTCAGCGTCAAACTCAACTTCGAGCATAGCGCTATTACAGCGTAGAGGTTCGATCAAATAAAAAGAAGATTTCAAAAAGTGTTTATTTTATAACAGAATAGCAAAGCGGGTTATGTATCTTTTGCCGCGTCCCGCGTCCCTCCCCTTTTGATTTTAGCAGGAACAGTTTATAATATGGAAAATTATCTGCGAATGCCCCAATGACATTTTTTATAAAGGTTTGCCTGATAGGTTAGCATTATTTACCGGTTAATAAAGTTATAAATATTAGACAACACTACATTGTTCTGATCCCAGATGAAGTAGCTAAACCACTTCTAATAAGAAAATCTGAAACAAGGAACGTACTGCAACGTCTAGACGCAAGACAATATTTAAAAGAGTCCATTTTAAAAAATGACGACACCTTGAAACCGGCTCAAGAGCCACTTGGTCATGGTAAAGTTTTATTATTAAATTTATTATACTCACTATAAACGTCACATAGTTGTTCTTCATACAATGTACCGAAGCAATCACATCTGTATCCGTTATATTCATTTATGCATCTAGAACCTTCGAAACATAAGTTTTCCGTCGTCATACATTTGTCTATGCAGCCCTCTTTGACGTTCTCGTGTTTGGTAGCGATTAGAGGTACAATCGGCAGGAGATCAGAGGCAGCTTTCCCAGAACTAAGCACCATATCGCTGATGCATCCGACGAAGGATTCTATTATATATTTCACACCATGAAGTTTCTCTTCAGAACTTAAACCTGTAAATTTAAAATTGTCTTGTGTAAAATTACTACTTGCCTTATGAATACTAGCTTTCCGACAGCGGCTTCGCCTGCGTGTTCTTGTATAATACATTAAAAAAATCCTTTTAAATCACCCCATCTATTATAAAAAACCACATCAAATTCGTTGCGTAGTTTTAAAGATAACTTTAAAGAAAGCGACTTTCTTTTATACTATGGATTGATAAGTAGCCGATAGTCATGTCGACAAACAGCTTTAAGATGTTACATCAAAGTTTCATTTGATTTTACTATCAAGAGATGGCGCTATTATTTTGAAGTTATTTTTAAATTTTGTTTAACGAATAGTATAACAGAATTGGCACCATTGTGTAAATATCCGTTATGACGTCTATTCCGTACCATGGAACATATAGCTTAAAATTCTGTTTGAAGTAATTTTTTACAACACAGTTTATAAAAAGAGAATTAAAAAATATATATGTAATGTGATAAAAAACGCATACAAATATAAGAATATTTTAATATTTAACTTTATCTATTATCAAAAACAAATAATATTAAGTCTCACCTCCGATCAATATAACCGATGTTAAATTATCTGTGATGCCGTAGTTCGTATCAAAGCTTAGACCCTGATAAACAAATAAAGGTAAATTAAAAATATATTCTGATAACATATTGAAACACTTGAAATAATACTACCCTGGTAACATCGGCAATGGCAAATGGCAAAAAATGGTTAATGGCAAATATGAATTAACAGATTATTTGTGAAAAGACGTTCAAAGAAAAAAAAAAACAAAAGAAAACGCAGACTGAATATAAAAATATTTAAATCTAGATGGTCATGTGTGCTCGTGCGGTATAGTTTTTCTAAATAGTATATGTATAGTTTTTCTATAGTATATATATACTTTATATAGTTTTTCTTTGAAATATTTAATTATGGAATTTTAACGCGTGTTTCTGTTTCGTCTAACACGAAATTTTCGTATTACTGTAAACTGTAGAAATATAGGTTTACAAGCGAGCTTCATTGATTAATCTTCAAAGAATAATAATACTTAATATTCAGACACAACATATTAAGGTTGCCCTTCAGGCCAATGGTCTTTTGGAAAGTTACTCTTTTGTATTCGCTAATAAAACACACTGATTTTTATGTATATCTAAAACTGAGAAGAGTTCTACCTTTAAATACACTTCCTCCTTTAGCTGGTCCACTTTAGCTATGAGCCTAGCGCCATGAACATCGATGGTGACTACCACACTGTGCCACTGGTCTCTGTTCAGTGCTCGGCCAACGGTCACCGAAGTCAGATGTTTACCGAACACGTGTACCACTAAAGCATATAATAAATGTACTACTCGTACGAATGAACATGACACCAAAAGGCCTTATATTTTTTCGAAATCGAAGTTTCGCATCTTTTCAACTCCTGTTTTTCTATTTGTTCAAGTTAAAATATTGAACACGTTTTTTTTTATTTTTTTCGTAATCAGAAAATTACGGCGATACATGGAGTTGAAATTTCGCATGACACGTTATGGTATGTTTTCTACAAAACTGTGACGTAACGAGCCCTCACTCCTCAACTTTAATGCCTGTTATATAAGCTATTTCTCGTTAAATTGAAGTAAAAAAATACGCATCTAATATTTTTCTATTATCAGACTGACGGAATAAATAGAATTGCATTTTTTTCACCCAGTCGTCACCCCTATTGAAGTTGCATCAGAGGTAGCACCTGAAACTGCCTCTGATACACAGATAATTTTCACGGAAGTGATTTAAACTCTAATTGATTTAATTTTCTCAATTTTCATTAAAAAAATAAAAAATAGAAGAGATGCTTAGGTATCATGTTAATTCGTACGAGATATGTAGCAAATAAATATGTTAGAGCTAGTAAGTATCTTTCATATATTATTATATTCAGCTAAAAGAAAACGCTCTATAATTTAAATTATGGAACATGAAATTGGTGCCAGTTTATTTAAATATGCGTATTATATATATTGGTTACTCATTTAAGATACACAACAGAATTACTTTGATCACATACCGTAATTTTAAATTAGCCTGCCTATAATTAAGTTACTGATGTTTTGAAGACTTTGATAGGCATTCAATTAAGATTTACATTAAATAATTAACACTGATAGAAGAATTATAAGCATCTTATTTACAAAATATTATCTATGTTATTTGATATTAACTATACAAATGTTAAATAATTCAAAAGCATATCAGTGTTATTTTATATAAAAAAAAAATCTTGATATGACGCTTTTATTTCTTATATGACAAATTCAATGTCAATTGGTTAATTAATGCTTATTTAAATCTCTTTGTAGTGTTGTACCAAAGGAATTACAATAAACGTAGAAAGCTTTAGATGGTAACATTATTGTCACATAACAACATACAAAGTTTAAAAAATTGAAAAGCTTTATTTAATGAATGTTTTTATAAAAAAATTTCAAGTCTTGTTTGTGTATTTGAAAACTAAGTTATCTATTGAGTTACAAATAATTAAGCCGGGGGAAGCAAGAATTATATTTGCAGATTTTCTCTTTAGTCAATAGTCGGGTTATTGTAGTCTAAAAGTTTTATTAACGTTTGTTACCTTTGAGTTCTCCTTTTTCAACGATCACGTAGAGTGCATAAGGTTGCATTTTGAATACAGGATTCTTAACATTGTGGTACACGAGTAAACCATGAGGTAGTCGCGTACGAAACTTAAAAGAGATCTCTCTACATAACCTGAGTAACGAAAAAAAAGTTAAGTGTTAACAAATTAAGGCACAGATAAATTTAACCTCGGACATTGTCAAGTAAGACATTTATATGTTATCTAAGATTTTTTTATATATTAGATACTACATAAAAAAATATAATATAGCTTGACCATTTAATTGGAGGTATACCTAAGCGAACCAGTTTAGTTTATATATTTATAGATTATTGTATTATGTAGTATCTAATATATAATAAAATCTGAAATGAGATCCGTTAACATTTATTACAGAATGTTATTTTTTTTTATATTAGTAAATTTCACATTCAGTGAATGATCGATAAAAAGTTTTGATATTTTATATAAATCTGCAGAAATGAGGGTGTTTCAATCATAGATAGATTGTTGTCGCCTTAAATGAATAATTCGTGCATATCTCTTATCGTAGATTACGTAAAGTTGTTTTTGCATTTGCGGTGTTGAGTGCAATAATCCGTAATATAATGAATGCAAAGTTTTTGATTTGGAAAGTATGTGGCATACTTTTATTTGGGAATTATTGAACTTGTTTTATTTACAAACGTCAATAATTACTGCCAAAGAAAAAGTACTTGAAAATAGTCAAACAACAATATTAATTTGCTTAGAATATATAAACTAAAATTGAATCAAAGTAGGTAACTTCAGTAAATATATAAAGAATATTTAATATTCTACCAAATGTTTATGTATGTATGTATGTATGTATGTATGTATGTATGTATGTATGTATGTAAGAATGTTCATCTGTTCCCTTATAACTTTGAAACTAGTCATCGTAACGTTATATTTGGCGAGAGCGCCCTCTAGAGAGCACAAAGCAAAACTAAAAATATATATATTCTATCATTCCATGTAGAGTATCAAATGAAAGGGTCAATGCTTGTGATTTTTCTTAAATACACCCAAAAATGAATTAAATAAAAAAAAACAAAAACTAAAACCAGACTACAGTTAAATCATTCTTTAAAATGTTTGAAACAAGAAATTTATTTTATAGCAATAGCTATATATAGTATAGTAAGAAATTTATTTTATAGCAATAGCTATAAAATAAATTTCTAATAGTAATAGATCATAACAAAGCAAACTGTTGTAGCGATAGAATATGGATTTTGGTCTCTGGTCTGGGTGTTGTGTTAGCTATATTTTCCAGATTTCATAATTCGAGTAAGTGCTAAAGCACTTGTATAATACAAGTGATCTGACCAATGTATGTATTTTGTCTAATATTTCATTATTTACACAACCTATTTCTATAAAGTTCGTGTTCGATATGTGTTCACATCGCACCCATCGAGTTTTCATTATGGATATATACCTACATACTTTAGTTTACCATAAACATTTTGATTATAATTTGTTAGATAGGAGATTCAAATAATTTGTTTTTATTTAAGTATTTTTTAGATACCAATTTAGTCATATCGCAAATGATAAAAGGTTGTGAGTTATGCACTCGTAGCTAAGTAAAACGTTATGTAACAATTTTTTTCGTAATTATATTGATTAATGTTTATTGTTTCGTAATACGATAATCTTGATATTTTATTCGCTTGTAATTAGTATAATTTGCAATGTCCATGTTGACTAATAATTTCGTGATCAATTCATGACATAGAATACCCGACAATTATAATTAATGACTACAATTGATGTAACTTTTTACAAGTAATTTTTTTTCAAGGTCTTTTGTGTTTAAGTGTTCTAATTAAAAAGTAGTATATTTATGTATATACCACTGTAAAGCTGTATATAATTATCATATAATCTTTCTACATATAATTCTTATAATATAACCTAACCTAAAATTAGCTTACATTTTGAAGAGATATTGTATTTTGAATATATAAGACACCATATACTGCCTATCTACTTAAGTAATAGTCCAGTCTAACCTGCGGTTGCCTGGAAGAAATTGCTTTTTAGCGATAAGGTTTGCGATTGTATCACAAAATTGTATCGATTATCCTTTTGTTTAATTATGGTGTACAATAAAAGTATTCATTCATTCATTTGAATTTCTTCACAATTTTACGATGACATATTAATCACTTAGAAACAGCTGAACAGATGTGACAATTTTTTAATTTTCATAATAATTCGAATAAGAATTATAATTCTAATAAAATTATAAAGAGTTCTAATAAATTCTTTCACTTTAGTGTGGGACGAATTCTTTAATTAAGAAATTAACCTACGACCAATCGGTAGAGGTGAAATATATTTTTTTTTGATAATAGGTACAGTCAACGGCTCTTCAAACTATAGAAACTAACAAATTTCTCAACCCGAATTTAAACCTTAATACATTGAGGGTGGATGTATAAATCCATTGCCGAAATTTGACATATCGTGCTAAATATTCTTAATGAAAAATGATTAAAAAATCCACTTTGTCCCCGGTACTCTGAGAGTGGATTCATACCCACGACATTTCAGACGTCTCCACAAACAAATTGGATTTTTTTATAATATGAATTTGAATATTTTCCAATATTATCCAACAGTAGTATCATGTCAGTATCATAAAGACAAATAAAATATAATTTTTATTCTTTTTTTGTTACATTAATAAAAAGTCTTCGTTAATTTCAATATATTTTTTAATTCGTTTAAGGATTAACATAGATACTGTAAAATTGAAAAGTCGCTATCAGAAACTTGACATTATAGGTATATGACATATTGTGTTGTTGTACCTTACTTTATTATGCTTCAATCATATCTTATTTTACGGAAAATATCTTAATTTATAAATAATATTGAAGTGTAATAAAACATCTAGATTCAACTACATTTTCACACTGCTCCGGATACACGTCTTCAAACCACCGCGGCTCGAACAATAATCCCCTAAGATAGCGAGACTAGTCAAACCAATATTTTTTTTATTAAGCCAATACAACATCCGTTTCCGGAAAAGTGATATTTTTGTTTTTTTATTCCTTAACTAATACAAGGTAAAATCTCATAAAAATACACAATTAAAGATATAATACAACATAAATATTTTGTGTTAATATAGGTAGTTCTAAGTTTACCTGAGTTGGAATCTCTGTATTATGTCACCATCGAGCTGTATAAAAGTGTTGTCCTTGGCAAACATGAAGGTCTGATGGTGGCCGGACTCAGCGAACGTGAGGAATCTGTCTCTGTTGCTTGGCGGTATAGGGGGGATAGCTGTCGCGTAAGTGGACGTGGACACGTTGACAGTTGTAGCTATAGATGATGTTGATGTCAGCGAAAGAGTAGTGGGCGGTAGAACTGTCAAATTAACATGCCACTATCATCACTAATATCTCTATTATTGGGACACGGGCTTCCCTTATGGATGGTATCGAATCGAACTAAACAGGGAGAACGGGCCATTGACCTAAAGTGGTCCTAGTGCGAATTGGTCTAACGACTGTAGATGCACCTAACCACTAATATTTTAGGTTTTAAGGAGATAAAGAAGAGTAGCTCTTTGGAGTAGTGGATAAGCGCCGTGGTACTCGATCTTTATTGTTAAGCAACTTTCGCAAGGGTCGGTCACGGGATGGGTGACCAAAAAAAAACATTATGCCGAGCTACTCCGTGCTGCGGAAGGCACGTTAAGCCGTTGGTCCCGGCTTCATTTGCAGTCGTTGATACCCTCCAATCCGCATTGGGCCAGCGTGGAGTGTCATGGCCCGTGCTCCTTAACCATCCCAATATTTATAAGGAAGTCCTGAGCTGTACGACAGTGGGGACGTAACAAAACTGATGATGAAAGGAGATAAACTCATTTGTTTGTTTGCATTTAATAGGATCACAAAATACTGGAACGATTTTAAACATCGATTCACCTACGGGAAGATACATCATACGCTGACTTAGACTATAATTTACATGGGCGAAGTAATAATTTATAAAAAAAAGCTAATAAGTTTTCTCCTATTTAATTTATTAGTGTGATTTTATTGCTATTTAATAAGCTCCTCAACCTTCTTATTATTATTATCATCATTGATCTGTTCTTATTTTAAATGAATAATGAGAAAATAATGTTATAAGGAAACTTACTTTTTTCTTCAGGCGCCAAATCTACCGGTAAACTGCACCAAACATCAGCTGTTCCACAGAATATTATAAGTGTGATCAACTTTATTCTTCTTCTTTGTAACAACATTTCTGTTCTGCTCGATTGCGGTCATTTATCTGGGAATAAATAAAATATTTATGTTTTTAAAGTTTCATTTTATAAAAGAAGCTATAGACCCTTCTGTCTTTCTTTTATGTAACTACATGTCTTCTGACAAAAACTTTTACATACGAACAAGTAGAGTTATTGAGTTGAAATTATTAAAATATAAATAACACTCAAGTACTTTGGAATTACAGAGTGAAAATTTACGGGAATTTTATTTTAGCAGCGCTAAAGTTAAGTTTATCTATAGCGTGTAGCATTTGAATATTCTGAATTATATACATTCAAGTTGTCTTTACAATCATTTTATGACGAAAAAAAGTAATAATATCCAAATAAAAACATAATGTAAACATTGATTGTCAAGTACGATGTGTCTAAGCTATCGAGCTTAATTATCGGTGTGAATAATTACATTTAAATGGGTGCCTAGTTTAGTAGACAATTCTTAAATTTATTTATTTCTAAGATCGATTAAAATTTATGAGTAAAATAAAGCAACCAACTTAAAATCTTGTTTTCTTTACATTACATATAAATATTGAGTTGTCATCCAAATTAATAATCGAAAAGTGGGTCATATACAGCTTGTAAAATTTATATGGTAAGTCAAATAAAAGACTGTAAATAGTATGCATTTCGAGCAACTGCAAAAGATCCTCACTCATATACAGTAGATTGTATTAAATATATTAAATAAAACGAACACCAGAATCATTTTCTCCAAAACATTTCCGTTTCGTTTCCCAACGAATAATATTGTACCTTCACCCGTTCTATTAAGGTTGCGTCTAGAATGTGTAACATTTGCATCGAGTATTGAGCGGAAATATGGAATCAGACTTGTAGTGTGGGCCGGCTAAAAGACACCAATGTTATTTGAGCTGTCCATTTCTACAGACCACTAAAGATATTATAGTATTCTGACAAGTTTAAAGGTCCACTGATACTGGCCTTGATATAGCATTAAATTGGCTCAAGTAACTACCGTTGTCTCAAGATGTTGTTCTGAGTTGACACATTGGCTTTTAAGTTGGCAATCAGATTTTACAAGTTTATGAATCATGGGTGTTCATGTGGAAGAAGTAGTCACGGTGAAGGAAACACATTTATAATTAACCTAGAGAACATGTAATAAATCGAAATGTATGTGTATATTACCAATGTACTTACGTAGTAAAAATAATTGATTTTCACTTTAAGGCACTGGGTAATAAAGATCATAGATCGGAATTACACAAACCACACATTTTTGATAACCAAAGAAAATAAATTGTGCTTGACTAGACTTTCCCGCGCTTTACACTGTTTAAAAATAAAACATCTTCGTTTCACGTGTAAAGGCGATTTTTGAAAGAGGTCGGTAATCTCGTTAATAGTACTTTTTAAAGAGATTGTTATTTTTTATTTGTATCTAACCAACTAGGTCGTCAGTAGCGCGTCCCCTGGTGACGGCCGAACACTGACGCGAACTTTAACGACATGTAATAGCACCGACAATTTGTATTCGTGGGTCACAGGCGTCCTCAGGATCAGGACATTGTGGTACAGTGTAGAGTTCGTATAAGCGGATTTAAAATAAAAAATAATAAAATTGGAAATTGGACGAGTGACGCAACTGTAGCCCTAGTAGAAGAAAGACGAATAATGAAATATCTAGGAGTTGAAATAAGTCTGCAAACGCCAAGTTTGCTCGTATGCATGAGGTATGTAGGCGCAACTGCAACACTCACCTCCGTAACATCTCTGAAGAAGTCGAAATTCACGCCGATAAAGAGGAAACTAGAGATTAATTTCGAAAAATAAAATCGATCACCAAAGATCTACACAGTAGAACCCATGTTCTATGGACAATAGAAGATTAAAAGGTTTAATTTAAAGGTAAAGCCACGGGTAGAGCTTCTATACCGATTGAAAATATCAAAGCCTCCGGAAAATGTGGTCTCGATTTATTATTTACTATATGCAACAAAATCAGGCAAACGGGAATGTGGTCGCAGAAATGGACGCGGTGTTTGTTTCTCTTCATAAAAAAGTGGCACAAAAATAAAAGTACCTTTAGCTTAATATGTTTATTATTTAATATGTCGAGAGAGAGTGAGAGAAAGAAGATCGATGCCTAGGAGATGTGGTGCTGGAGAAAAATGTTAGGAGTGCCTGGAACGGAGTTCAGGACCAACCAGTCTATCCTTGAGGAACTTAGTATCAAACAGTATTTATCTTCCACAGTACAGGCTTGAATTCTCACTTTCTTTGGACATGTTTTGCGACGAGGAGAGATATCTGTAAATCGCCTTTTGATGCAAGGACAGGTGGAAGGCTCGAGACCACGCGGAAGGTCACCAATGCGCTAGACAGATCAAGTGAAGGCTGCATTTAATGGTTCTCTATACGAGTGTACGTGAAAAGCAGGCGTCAGAGACGAGTGACGACGTTTCGAGAAACACGTTACAGACCCTCAACAGACTACCAGGAGCACTCTGCCAAAAGTGTAGCAACTAATAAGATGAAGAAAATTCAAAATGAATAATTAAAAAAGCCGGAAAAATAACCGCATATAGTTTACACTTGGGCGTTTAATATAAAATAGATTAGTTGCGGTCGTAAAGGTTATGTTGTGATGTAAAAATAAATGGTGACATTCACTCAAAAAAGTACGTAACAGCTTACATTGTGTCCCGTCTCGATCATCATTATTGATGATGGCTCAATCAAAAATAAATCTTGTCGTAGTCTGTTGACATTAATGTGAGAATGTTTCTACACTATCGTAACACTCTCGATTTCGATTTTAATATTCATGATAAATAATTGTAATTGTCCAATGATATAATAAGATTTATATTTCTTAAGTATGTCAGTTACCTTTTTACAGAACGTACTTCCCTGTTTATTTGTAAATATTATGTAATGAAATTTTTAATTTCTTATTCGAAGGTGCGTCTTTTATAATAATCACCGTATTTGTATTATAGATGATATATTATAAAAATTCGTCAGATTGTTCTTAATCCCTTTGTCACAAAATATTATATTCTTATAAAACATAATTTAGAAAACAAAATTTTGACGAGCTAATTTAATTTATGAGGGCAACCAGTAGGTAAGTACAATTGGCACGAACGTTTTACGTGATTAATTAATAGCTCATGTAACCATCCGACACTGCAGCAGTGATGCACAATCTTAATTGGTAAATTACTCAAATTCCACTTACAGAGAATTTGAGATCCGTTGCAGATGTAGAAAATGCCTTGGAATAATTTTACGAAGAGTGGTAAGGACAAGATATAAGAAGCAGTGAAATAATCTGTAATAATACATACACAAGAAAGAAACATGGAAAAGAACATAAAAGTTATGTAAATATTTGTTTTAAGATGCTATCCAGGATAAGAAGACAAAACTTTTCAAAGGAACACATTTCGAAATTCTTATTTAGAAACAAATAATTTTGAAACCACCAATCCTAATTTAATGGCGAATATAGGTAAAAAAATTACCATATATATTTTTTGTATAAGTACTCACACTTTCTAACACTGTTTCGGCGACCTTTTTTGAAGAGTTTTTATGTTTGGTCTATGTTTATTAACAAATCGCAACAAACCTGCAACAAAAAATTATTCGGCCTCTTTTTACGTAATCTCATTGTATTTTTATGCAAAAATAATTTTCCTTTATCAATCCAAACAATAAACTGTATAGACTTTCTTTTTTAACATCACAAGCGATTGACTTCGCTTTCATTTCGATATAATGTTTGGGCACAATAAAACGCGTGACATTTTTTTTTGAGGCGTAAAACTCGGTATTATAAACTTCAGGCACGAATCTTAACTTTACCTGGGAACTAATGTTACGTAAAAAATATTAATACTATTAAATCCATCACTGAAATTTCGACTCTATCACTGTTAATTAAAGAATTGATTATTTATAGATGTTACTTAATTAGATTTTGGTATGGCGATCAGATAATATTCAAACAAAGACTTTGGTGTCGATAATTAGGTGTTTTATAATAAACCAATTCGCTATGAACATTATCGGTAATTAAAATGTCATAGCGTTGTTAATGTAAAAGCAATACACAATTGACTTTCCATTGATCAACTTACGCTAAAGCTGGTCACACACAACCGGAATCATGATATGAATATGCACGGAAATGATAAAACTTCATTGTTCTTCACATTGCAGGCTGTTTTTATTTCAAATTATATGTCGTTTTATCTATCAGAAAGAATACTGACTGTATTGATAAAAAAAATAATTTTAAGATTATGAACCCAGAATGCCCTTGTTTTTATATATTTCATGAGGACAATACACATGTAATTGGTCTTAGGGGCTGTCCATTACTCACGTGAGGCACGAAAGGGGGGGGGGGAGGGATTCGTCAAAAATCACGAAATATCACAAGGGGGTGGGGGTGTAGTTATATATCACGTGTATTTATTTTTTCCTTCACGCGCGATTATTAAACCGAATAAGTTTTTTTTAAATACACGTACACGATTTGGTTGAAGGAGGGAGGGGGAAGTCTTAACCTTCACCATGTATCACCAAGGGGGAGGGGGGGTCAAAAATGTTGAAAAACATCACGTGATTAATGGACCCCCCTTAGATTATTTTAGTCGTTACTGCAAGTTGGCAGCGTAAAAAAGAGACAGAAACTGTAGTTTTCTGATCAATCTGATTTATAAGACATGTTTGTGGTTATCACCAGCCTGTTTATATCTCACTGCTGGGGTTCAGGCCTTCCGTATGGATGGTATTAAATCAAACGATTGCGGATTGGCGGGTGCCTTTCGAAGCAACTAGGAGTTCGATATAATACATTTTTGATCACCCATCCTTTGACTGGCTAAAGATGCTTAACAACCTTATCCCAAACCGGGCGCGCCAACCATTGCGCCATCTTGGTTGGGAATAAATTTCTCCTCCTTGGTTGGGAATTCCAATTTCAAATTTATACAGCCATTTACACATGTATTTGTATTTCGTTAGGCGTTTTATTTCTTCTGTTCGTCTTATTTACGTCACCCAGTATAAAAAATTGGAAATCTTGAAATATCGTGTTATTTACGTAAGAGTTCCACCGTGGTACCAGTGTTGCAGAAACGGCTGAAAGGATTAATGATGTGTATGGCGGTTGTGTCGCAAAAGAAAACACAGTGCGTTTTTGGTTCCAACGTTTTCATTCTGGAAATTTCGACCTGCAGAACAAGCCCTGTGGACGGCTGGAAACCCAAGTTAATAATGAAGAATTGAAGGCTATTGTGGAAGCGGATCCATCGCATATCACGTCCGAGTTAGCTGCAGGCTGCGGCGTTAGTGATAAAACTATTTTAATTCACTTGAAGCAAATTTAAAAGATTAAAAACCTTGAAAGGTGGGTACCTCACGAATTGAGTGAAGCAAACCAGCAAACGCGCTTCGACTGGCGCCTTACATTACTTAACCGGCACAATAATTAAGGATTTTTTAGTTGAATAATTGAATCAACTGTGATGAAAAGTGGTTGGACCCTAACATGCCAGTCAAATCCTGCCCCAAGCGAAAATTGACCCCAAAAAAGTTACTTGTAAGCGTTTGGTGGACTAGCGCCGGTGTCGTTCATTACAGTTTTCTCAGTGAGCAATTGCAAACCATCCTGGAAAAACTAGCTTTTAAAAAACCGAGACTGGTCATTCGTTCTACACCACTGCTACTTCACGATAACGCTAGATCACACACTGCACAACAAACGGTTACCAAATTAGAAGAGCTTCAATTGGAATGTCTAAGCCATTCACCGAACTCCCCGGACCTTGCTCCAACAGATTACCATTTTTCGAAATTTGGATAACTTCTTTCAAGGGAAAAAATTCAACTCCGATGGGGCAGTACAAATCACCTTCAAAGATTTTATTGATTCCCGTCCGAATGGTTTTTTTTAGTAAGGGGATTAATGAACCTATGAGATGGCGAAAGTGCATAGATAAAAATGGTTTATACTTTGATTAAATAATCTAAGCATTTTCGTTATTTGGTTTTTGTAATAAATTCAAAAAATTCAAATGGGAGCGCTTGTTCATGGGTCATTCTCCCTATTTGATTCGATTTAATTCATATTGAAAGCCTGTGCCCCAGCAATGGATATATTAATAGGCTGGTGATCATAATGGTGGTGTGTTGCATTCACAGTGTATTGATCCCTGTATCTTGGACAAATTATGTTTATATATTTTATTGAGTGCAGACAAAGACGCAGGCTAAGCTAGTTCCAAATTTGCAACTAAAAACAGAATTAGCATAGAGATGAATAATTAAGTGGCACCAATATTTTAATATGTTTTGAAACAAATATTAATAGGCCCATTAAATAATATATCCTGTAAAACAGAATGTCACGACGTTGTTGACCTCTGCAACAGTGACTATTCGAAATGTCTCGCCCACTCCACATCACGCATTGTGTT